TGGGAAGTTTGGCTCATTAGATGCCATTTGTTTGGCAAACATAGCACTGGGCATCCAGCAAGGGTGAAGCTGAGGTCTCCTGAGGGTGATGGTGCAATCGGGTTGGTTTTAACCAAGGTAATATTCACGCCTGGGTAAGGCCACGGGGTCTATCATGCTTCTCTGGATACCCTGGTGTCTGGCTTTGTTTGCTTAGAATCAGGGAATGGTTTGGGTTGGAAAGGACCTGAAGATCGTCCACTTCCAAGTTCTTTTTATGGATCCAAGAGAAGAAACACGAGTTGTTTTCCCATAAAGGTCAATGTAAAATATTCCATGCCCTGGCCTTGAACTTCAGCTCTCCAACAAGGGAGGAACGCTCTCCTTTCCTCACCCCTTAAGGCACGATTGAAGGGAGGTCGTCGCCTAACTCAGCCCTGCCCCTGACCTCGTAGTATGGTGGGATTGTCCATATCTTACCAAGTCTCCCTGCAGAGGCAGAAACCGTGGCTCCTGGTTGTGGACAGCCTGGGTCTCACTGACGTGATGCTAGCCAAAGAAAAGTGATCCTTTCCTATGTATCTATATGTACTTCCATAGCAAATCACAGCGAGAAAGAATTAACCCCCTGCCTTGGTGCTGCAGAGACCATGACGGGCTGCAAGGCTGCATGGTCTTCACATGGCCCCTAGAAATGGGTCCTGTTCCCATCACCTGGCTCCACCAGGCAGCATCTACCTTGACTAAGACCCTGGGCAAACATTCAGGACTGAACTTGCAGGTCCTTCTCCTAACGCCAGACCCAGCTCCTGGCCCGCGCTCAAGCTCAATTCATTGAAGTCAGTGAAGGAAATCAAGGCTGCTTTAATCCTTTTGCTTCAACTAAAACAAGAACAATAAACACTGCAAGAGCCAGAAGTTCTGCTTGAAGAAGGATTTAGGATTTGGCCTGAAGTGCCGGAAAAGGGGCTGAGTTTTCGCACTGGGTGCACGTCCTTTTGGTGCAAGGTGATAATGGGAGAATAGAACTTCTCCCGGTGGTCACCTTGCTTTAGGGAATGCCTTCTCCTCTGCTCTGCCTCCCTGGGGCATCAGTGATGTGCAATGGGAGCTGTGCCTTGGTTTACACCGCAGCAAGAGCTTTGCTGCTGCTGCCTCCCACCACAAACCAGCCTGGAGCTAAAGGGGAGCTTAGTCCTCTCCCTCAATGCCCCACAGCTCCCTATAGCAGGAATCTCTAACACCACCCTGCAGTGGTTTACAAACTCAGGTATAGGAGGACAAGGGACCTGCCTGGTCCCATAGCCCATCAGGGTCAGGACATTCAGGGTGGGAAGGTCCCAGAGCCATGCTAATGCTGCGGGTGCTCTGATTCCCAGCTGAGGTGTGTATGGCTCTGCTGGTCCCATCCCAAAAGCATCTGTATCCTCATCCCCATCTGCTCTGCTTCTCCAAGTGCCCTGGCAGCCTGCGACCCCCATGGCTGGGGACAAACGCACTGACACATCCATTTATCCAGGCAGCGAGCAGAACTGGAGCAACAGGATTAGTCCCGATACCAGAAGTAGGATTTGTTCCTTCTTATTCTTTGACTTCCTTTAAAGGCTTCCCCGAGGGCACTCTCAGAAGTAGCATTTTCAGCTTTACACCTCCTTTCTTGGACAAAAAAACGTGTATTTTGATGAAGAGCAGAGCCAAGAATGGCCAGGTTTGGGTCAAGGTTTATCTCAAGACTTAGTCCCGCTGTGGATTCTCCAGTGTCTAATGCAAAGGGTGCTTGCTGCCATGGGTACAGGTTGCCCATTCGGCTCTGGAGAGGACAAGGGAGCTGTCTGAGGAGTTCCCTAACACACAGCAAAGAGCAAGAAGCGGAGCTGTCGGTGAGGTCTGGGCAGCGCAAGCACCTCCTGCGGCGGATCAGCTCCAAGCAGGAAAACTCACTGCTGTTGATGCAATCAAGCTGTTCTTCCCTGTGGCTCGGAGGTATTTTCGATGGAATGGAGATACCTGCGAGATGTTTGTGCTTTCCTGAAAGCCAGGGAAGCAGAGATATCGGAGCCATCTAAGGCACTCGAGAAGCGAGGTCTTGTGCAAGCTCAGCTCCCTTGCTTACAAAACGTTCTTCAAGAGCGGGTTGCCAGGCCGTTTTCTGCCATGGGGAGGAAGCCGGGTGCTTCAACCAACCCTCTGAACGTGCATTTGGTCCCAGGGGAGAGCCATAACGCTGTTCCACTCCAAAGGCTGTGGTTTCAAAGGTGAAATAACGCACGTCCCCAACTCACTCGGCTTCGCTGTGAAGGATGCTCGTTGATGCTCCTAACGCTGCAACGCAGTTGGTGTAAGGGGTAAAGCAGCACCAGCAGGTCCAGGAACCCCTCTTAGACACCAGCAGAGCTTCAGCAAGCCAGCCCCAAGCTCCGGTCTCCTGTTTCTCCAAGCACATGGAAGGATGCGTGGCCACGCACCGTGCAGCCAGGCAGGGAACCTTGGCTCTGCCAATGCCCGGCATTAACTTCAGCAGCATCTGGCTCCGTGCTGTGGATCCCTGTCAAACCAGCAGGATTGCAGTCACTGCAGAGCTAGAGGTGCCTGGGTGAGAGCTGGGATGTGTGATTCCTGCTGGGAAGCAGCATCTCACTGCAGTTTGCTCTGCCCCACAGTGAAGACCACGCTAAGGGAGATCCTGCTTCGCAAGACCCAATGCAGCCCCAGTCCTTTCATCGTGGTGCAGAGCAGAAACCCACATCCACACCAAAACACCTCAAAGCCCCTCTCAAAGAGCTGCAATGAACTTTTGCTGGATACAAGCGAGGCCCATGAGGCTGCCTTAGACTTTTAAGTCTGGCTTAAGATGAAGATTAGCTCAGCGCTAATCCTGCTTACTTCTCTCTCCTTTTAATGAGCCTCCATTAAGCACTGCTACATCACAATTCCCTCGCCGTGTATAGCTGTTAGTCAAATAGGATATCAGCTCCACTTAATTGCCCATATTTGCTCTCTGTCATTCCCTGCACTAATAACAGCCTGCATTGCTAACCTGACATAACTACGCCTTGAGTAACAACACTGAGCTCTCCAGTCTGCACCAGGCACTCAGGAGCGTGCAGACTGGACGTGACCATGGGTTTGACCCCGATTTTGGCCTCACAACCTGTTCTGTGAGGTTGGCTTCACTGCTGGCAAGCCAGAGCGATGCTGTGGTGAGCCAAAGGCCCTGAGGAAGCCCAAGAGGATTCTTAGAGAGCAGGTTTCCTAAGGACCATATCCAACCTCCTTCAGATTCACCCATGGGGCTGACTTGTTCTATGATCTCTCCCTCTTTAAGAGCACTATTCCCATAAGCATCTTTTAAAAGGGAAGACTGGAGTGGAATGGGATAGGATAAAACAGAAGTTTAAAGGCTGGACCAGACGATCGCTGAGGTCCCTTCCAATTCCCTGTGAGTCAATGAGAATAGTTGAGTTAGAAGGGACCTGCAACCATCATTTGGTGTAACTGTCACCCATGTGCACTGGAGGGAAGAACAGAACAGGCCTTCACACACCCTTAGGTATCCCTTCCAGCTTGTGATATTCCATGATTCCAGGATAAAATTCGGGCAATATGGAAAGCTTTACGTCAACCTTTCACGGCAGCTTGGTGGCACTTGCAGGGGAAGTTGGTCGTTGGACACTGGCAGCCTTTGTCAGAGCCAGAGAAAGGACTCTCAGTTCGGGTGCTCTGCATCCCTCTGGAATGAAATGGCCTTTCCAGCTCCAGCTCCACCCTAGGGCAGTGCTCCTGCCAGCTTTAAATAGCTACAGAGGCTGCTAATGAAAGGGAAGAAGAAACAAGTGCTGCCTTTCCAGCAAAGCCACCAACCCCAACGGCACAGGGAGGAAAAGGCTTTACAGGCATAGAATCATGGAATGGGTTGGGATGAACGGACCTTAAAGCTCATCCAGTTCCAACCCCTTGCCACAGGCAGGGACACCTTCCTCTAGAGCAGGGTGCTCCAAGTCCCTGTGTCCAACCTGGCCTTGAGCACTGCCAGGGATGGGGCATCCAAACCTTCTCCATTCAACCCATCCCAGCGTCCCAGCACCCTCACAGGGAAGAACTCCCTCATCTCCAACCTGAACTCCCCCTGTTCCACTCTGAACCCATCACCCCCTGTCCCATCACCCCAGTCCCTGATGCAGGTCCCTCTCCAGCATCCTTGTACCCCCCTTCAGGCACTGGAAGCTGCTCTGAGCTCCCCACGCAGCTTCTCTGCTCCAGCCCCAATGTTCTCAGCCTGGCTCCTATGGGAGCTGCTCCAGCCCCTGAGCATCCTCATGGCCTCCTCTGGCCTTGCTCCACCAGCTCCATGTCCTTCTCATGCTGAGAATCACCCAGGAACGGGCAAAATGTGTAATGGGTAAATGTGTTGTAAGCAATGGAAGAATAGGGAAAACAGACTTGTTGGGCAATTACTGGATGGTTTGAGGTGAATAATGATGCTCCAGGGAAGAAAACATCATTCCTGTTCTGGAGATTAACAGCGAGAAGTCAAGAGCCATTTCTGAGGAGCTGAGTGGGCCATCGGTAAGCAGCTGGTTCTGCAGCTCATGTCACTGCTTCACACCAGCATTTCCTTCCTGACAGGCATTTCTTGGGGCTGGATCCCATTTCTCTGGGTAGCAAACCTGTGCCCAGGCTGTTAAAACCGGGTACTCTGAGGAATGGAGCTGTAGTAAGTCACTTGGAGTTCTGTGCATCCCTTCTGTATCCCAGGTCCTGCGTTTCAGCATCCAGCTCTAGCATTACAGAAACCCCTTTGCTTTCTCTCCTCTCTGTGCTGTAGGTGGTAGAGCCTGGGAAAGAGAGGAGCACCAAGCACCTGTAGGGATAGGTCCCCTAGTAAGAAAGCAAAGGAGAAAGGGAAGTGTTTCATGGCATTGCTCAAGGCTGATTTATGACCTCCCAAGGGTGGCCAATGCTGCATTCCCCGGCTTTAATAGAAGGGGCAGGGTCTGATGTTCCCTCAGCTGGAACACACATGAGAAAAAGCCTCAGGTTTCCTAGGACCACATTCCCATCTCCTTCCACTCGGGATCCTTCACCCCCCACATCCATACACATACCCGGTCCCTCAGCATCCCCTACAGACACAGCCGCTCTGGCAGCGCTTGCCTGCAGATCCCCCAGGCAGGGGCAGTCCTTGCAGCCCCCAGCTCCATGATGTGGGAATTGCGATCCATCGCCTTCACCCGGGCTGTCTTTGCGGAGTTCCTGGCGACCTTGGTCTTCATCCTCTTCGGCCTGGGCTCCGCTCTGAACTGGCCCTCAGCTTCCTCCCCCAGCATCCTGCAGATCGCGCTGGCTTTCGGCTTGGCCATCGGCACGCTGGTCCAAGCCTTGGGGCACGTCAGCGGGGCCCACATCAACCCGGCAGTGACCGTGGCTTGTCTCATCGGCTCCCAGGTCTCCTTCCTCCGTGCAGTCTTCTACGTGGTGGCCCAGCTGCTGGGGGCCGTGGTGGGGGCTGCAATCCTACACGAGATCACCCCAGCAGACTCCCGGGAAGGCTTGGCCATCAACAAGGTAAGAGCTCAGCCCGCAGACGGGGCTTGAAAGGGAGCAGGAAACATTGGGATGGGCTTTGGGGAAGGCTGAGGGGTGTGGAGAAGGGGTTTGTGGCCATCAAACCCCTCTTTATTCAGCGTTGGGTAGAAAGGCTCTGTCGGCTATAGCCCAGCACCGTGCAGCAAGGGTCCACCCAGGAGCAGGGATGAAGGATGCTCCCTCTGCTTTTTAGGACTAAAACCAGAGGTATGATCCAGCTGCCCGCATAGACGCCTCCCTTAAGAGACAAAGCCACCCTTAGCTCAGTTTTATCTAGGGCGGAGGAGATGGATTGGGATGAAACCATATGATTAGGGAAAGACATGATCTAAAGTATCACCTCTCCGTGCCTCTTGCCCTGAGCTCATCCCACTTTCCAGTCTTCATGTGGGTGTAGGCAGCCTTTTCTCCTCTATCAGCAATGCCACTGTTTACAGGCTGCGCTGCCAGATTCCCAGCAATGGGAATGTCATGTGTTAGGTCTAAATCCCAGATTTTCATTAGCCAGCAATGCTCGTTAAACTGCTTCCAGCTGTGAAGGAATGGCCACACCAGATCCTGGTTCATCCCAATGCCTGCACACAGGTGCCCAATGCCAGCAGCATCGTGAGGATCCCAGTCTGGATCCATGCAGGGAAGAAAAGAAACCAGGGAACTTTAGGAAGCCTTAAGGGGGCTCCCCAGTGGTCCCTCAACCTCCAGCATCCCCCTTCCTCACCGATGCACCTCAAAAGAGGGGCAGGGGGGAAAGGAATTCAGAAGTCACAGGGTTCATATCTCCTCTCCATGCCCCACCACTCCTCTTCAGGCAGCTCTGTCTCCTATAAGGGTGCCCATGGACCAGCATCACCCAAACCCCAGCTGAGCCATGCGGGAGGAGGCAGGCAGCTTTGGATGTGCTTCAGGAAGCAGCACCCCCACATCCCCCTTCTTGCAGTAGGGAGGCAGTGGCAAGGCCCAGCTTCGCTGCCAAAGGGATTAAGAGGGTTGAAAAAGGGATTGGGGATTAATCTGAGCAAGGTGATTTAGACTGATAATAGCTGAGGCTTAATAAACCCAATAAAGCAAGAAGGGCTTTTAAGAGAGGCTTTCAAAGTGCCCAGCTTACTTGGTTTACAGCTTGAATCACCTGGAAGAGGGATTTTCCTTCTTTCCCCTGTGGGCTGCTCATCGTGTAGCTGCCTGCACAGATTATCCTTAATACAAAGGGGGAATATTGGAGAGAAAGACCTGGATCTTGGCCAAGAAGGCAATTGCCACCTCGAGCCACCACTGAGCAAAGAAAGGGCTGGGATGTGCCATAGGCTGGGGAAGTGAAGGGAGACTGGGGGAAGCAGTGCTGCTGGCGCCAGACGTGCACATCCAGATGCCAGATCCATCCAGATGTGGCTGCAGCACCACCAAGGAGCACTAAAGTGCCAGAAAGCAGGGCTGGAGGAGAGGGGGTGCAGCCAAGGCTCAGCTTCAGCTCAAATCCTGCCCTTTCAAATAGTATGGGAAGAGGGGACGGGAATGGGTTTTTGATGCCAAACCCCTTCTTTTTGACATTTTCCAACTTCCAAACTTTCCCAAGAGGCATTTTGCATTTTAAATGTGAGGAAAAGGAATAAATAATTCCTAGAGGAGAAAAAAAAAACCCAAAGGAATGCCAAGAAATAAACCATTTCCTGGTCAATCATTGAGCTTCTTTTCCTTTTAGCTGGGAATTTTTTCCTCCTTTTCCTATTGATGCCAAAATCCCACCTATTCCCTGGCTCTGTTTGCTCCCAACCCAGTCATCCAATGCTTGTCCCTGAGACACCTTTTTCCTCCCCTCCAGCTGCACAACGAGACAACGACGGGGCAGGCAGTGACCGTCGAGCTCTTCCTCACCTTCCAGCTCGTCCTGTGCATCTTTGCTTCCACGGATGAACGCCGGGAGGACAACCTGGGCTCTCCTGCCCTCTCCATTGGCCTCTCCGTTGCTGTGGGACATCTCCTTGGGGTGGGTAGAATAGGCTAAAATGGGCTAAAACTCAATGGGTTTGGGTTATCTTTGTGTCCATGCCCAAAGCCTGCTCGGCTGCTTGCTCTGGGTTGGATGGGGAGGTGTAACTCAAGTGGTGCCCACGGCTTTGCAGTGGATAGAGGAGGAAAACTACACCAAAGCTGTAGCAGAGCCATAGCCTGAGCTCTGCTTTTACGGGGCAGGAAAACACTGCCCCTGCTGGGTTTGCTGCTCCTTGAGTACTACAGGGAGCAACAAGGCATCAGTGGGGTCTTCTGCCCCAGAGTGAATGTGTTAGAAGCTGAGGCGCTCATGATAAGACTGGGAAGTATTTGGGATGGACACCCAGGGAAATCTCTCCTGGATGAGACCAAAAGAGCTCCAAACCCTCCCAGCCTCTCAGTACATGTAGTAAAGTGAATCACGGAATCATAGACTGGTTTGGGTTAGAAAGGACTTTAAGATCACCCAGTTCCATCATCCATGGGCAAGGACACCTTCCACTAGAGCAGGTTTGCTCCAAGCCCCATCCAACCTTGCCTTGAACACTGCCAGGGATGGAGCATTCACCACTCCTTTGAGCAATGCTTAACACTGCATCTTCCATCCTTAGCCCTCTGCAGCCCATGTGCCTATGGGACTCTTCTCCTACCCTCAATGGCAAGGAGAGGCAGCTTGCTCCAGGACTAGGCACAGCAGCAGCGTGTCCCCACGCTTCTCGTCACGCTGCAGGGCACGTCACCCAGCCTCCAGCCGGGTTGCACCATGCTCGTGCTTGCACACAAGGTGCACCGGTGTTGACTCAGGTGGTGGAAGCTGCAGGAGCATCCCTTTTCCTGGAATGGGGAGGGCGAAGCAGCAGCTCAGGGAATGAATCCAAACCACACCAGGGTCACGGTAAAGGGTTAAATGCTAACAACAAACCGGTGTTCCTCTGCAGATCCGTTACACTGGCTGCTCCATGAATCCAGCCAGGTCTTTCGCCCCTGCTGTTATAGTCGGAGACTTCAGCGACCACTGGGTAAGAGCCGGCTCCGTGCCTTGTGTCGGTGGGATGAGCGCTGTTCCTCGAAACCCACAGAGCCGGGCACATTCCTGGCATTTCCACACCGGCTCCGGCTTGGGAAGAGATGTAGAGATTAGCAAAACGAGGTGGGGCTGCTGGGTGCTTAACTGGCTTATCTGCGGGCATTGCAACAGCAGAAGGGTGTGTGGGTTGTTGCCCGTGACTTAGCCAAGGAAGCAGAACAAATGGAGAGTGGAGCTCTTCTTGCCGGTCCTGGAGACCTTTCCTGGTTCCACTTGGATCTGGGCATACATTTTCCACCAGTTCCTTTCGGAACACTCCCATGCGTTTCCATTTCGGAGCTAGAGCTGTGGTGGTTCAGGTTGATGTGCTCAGAGGAGCCCAGCTCTGGCTGGTAGCCTCCTCTTTGTAGGAGTGTGTAAAGGGGTAGGAAGATGCTTCGGCAGGGGAACCCATGCTCATGATGGCCTATCGGTCATGAAGATCACACAGCTCTCAACAGAAGAGGCTGGTTGGGTATATTCAGGCACAACAGCAACGGATGGGAGTTCAGGTCAACAGCGATGGCCAAAGCAGAGCTGGCTTCTGCATCTCACTCCCAGTGCGCACAGGGCAGGAAGGAACATAACCCCCCCTGCGATGCCCTTCAGAGATGCTGGTTTCTCCCTGTCCTCCACACTCAGGCTGGGTTTTACTCACCCAACTCTTACCTTTCCCTCTCCCTCAGGTCTTCTGGGTGGGCCCCCTGGTTGGGGCAGCCGCAGCCTCCATCATCTACAACTACATCCTGTGCCCGCAAGCCAAGACCTTCTCGGAGAGACTCGCCATCTTCAAGGGCTTCGAGCCCGAGGAGGACTGGGCAGAGCGCGAGGTCCGGCGGCGGCAGTCGGTGGAGCTGCACTCCCCACAGAGCCTCCCCAGGGGGATGTCCGAGAAGGTTTAACCCAAGCATCCCTCCAGGATGAGAGAGGAGCCGGGGACCTCTGCGTCTGTCCTAGAGCCGGTGATGGTCAGTGCCTCGCCTCTCCCCTCTCCCCCTTCACTTCTGCTTCTTCATTTGAGGAACTCAAGTTCCTGGGGAGACGCACTGGGATGGTCCAGCCCATCTTGTATTGTCCAGCTCCCCCCACGGCCAACAGTCGTCTGATGCTGGGGGGAAACACCATTAAATCAAAGCCCCCAGGAACAAGGACACCGCCATCCAACCCTCCTCCAGCTCCCTCCACGTCTCCCTGGTAGGAGGTAGCGCTCGCTGGAGCTTGGTGCCCTTCACGAAGGGCTCCGAGGTGCTGTGAGGAGTTGTTATTACAGCCATTTGCTGGGTGTGGAGGTTGCCACCCGATGCCTCATTGCTGTTGAACTCAACTCACCTCTCTCCCGTGCCTTCTCCCTGCGTGGCTGTTTGCACACACACACACACACACACACTGGAGGGCTCATTCCGGGCCATAAGTATCTCAGAAGCTATAAGTTTGGCTGCTGCAAGGAACCACATTGCCATTTATCACCCCAGAGATGCCCTTTGGAGGCTTTCCCGAGAAGATGGGGCTGGAAGCATGTCCTCGAGTTCATACTGACCCCATTGGGGAGCTCTTGCTGGGTCTCTCCTGGGACCTTCTGATTTTCAGCCCAAATACATCCATGGCTCATCGGTTCATGGACCAGTGCTGTCGTTTAGCTTTGATGCTTCATCTCTCTCTGGTTTGTGCTTTCTTTCCTCTGTTCCTGTTCCATCCTGATTCTCAGATGTGTAACACAAAGTATTTCAAGTATGATCCTCTCCATCACTTGTTTCCTACAGCCCAGACCCTTTCCATGGCTGCATCACACCAAAGCCTCGTAACCATCCCAACCCCTTTCTTCTGCTATTATGGCCACCATTGAATCCAGTTCCTATGACTGGATTACATTTCTATGACTTAGCCTGAAAGCCTGGTTTCCAGCAGGACATCCAGTGAGGTCTCCCCGGCATTGCACCATCACAAAACATCACCACCACATTCAGGCTTCTGCTGCTGAGGCTGTTAATGGAAAACATGCAGTGAGATTGGCCCCAATTCCAGATCACAGGGAACATCAGTGATCATTTTCTGGTTGGACATGAACCACCACCAAACGATGTTCTTCTCTTCTCTTCCTGTCCATCCACTGTGCTCTACTTGTACCAGGCTCCTATTAGATTCCTATTTTCCTCTATTCCTCACTGTGGTTTTGCTCATCCATCCACTAAAGGCTGTAGTTGGAGGGATAAGGAGTAAAGAAAGCTCTGCTCTGACCCAGACAAGGCATCCTCATTGCCTTCATGTCACCACACCAAGTGAAGCTGAGAGCATGGGAGCTCCTGCATCCCTTCGTCTGACTGTCATCTGCTGTCCCTGATGCCACACTGCAAAGCAAAGGGGGAAATTCCATCACAAGCTTTATTTGCTGTAGCCAAGGATCCATTTTTCACCTCCAGTCATGTAGTAGTAATGTAACTACCCCCAGAAGGCTGCTATTGAGATGCATGCAGCAGGTTCAGTGCTGCTTTAACTCATTCTCTGCCACAGCAAAGATGTCGATTCTGGTCCTTCAGTTTATTCCTTCAATAGCAAAGGAACATTTGAATGGCATTTTGAAAAAGGCTTTCCAATCTATCTGTTCTCAACAATAGGAATTAAAATAAATGTCTCAAATCAGAGTGTAAAATTGTATTTAAATCACTGAATATTTGGTTTTAAATGTAGTTTTTTTACTATTCAAAGGGAAAACAACCCCTGTATATGTCAGGATAACCCAAAGTAACTTACCCAGGAGTTTCCCTGTCAATGACCTGCTCTGTAAGATGCCACCCAGCTGAATCTTTTGGGCTTTTTTTTGGCAATGTTCAAGCTATTTACACATCTCTTTGCCTTAAGATCTAAGCCTTTAATTTCTTAGTTACCCTGACAATGTTTCAGACTCACATAAGCAGCACAGGGCCCCCAAATGGGTTTAAATGTTTCATATTTACTGCATTCTCTAAATAAAGAGCTTTAAATTTACTTTTACTCACATGTGAATCGAATAGTGACACATTTATGGTCACAGAACATAGAGTCACACAAAGTGACCTCCCAGACCTGAAGTCCCACAGCCACCAGTGCAGCCCAGTCCAGCTTTGAGTGCTGCCTTGGGCCAACAGCCTGTTGATGGGCAAAAGTGACACGAAAAGAACATTTTACGTTCTTTTAGCTTCAAAATAGGACCCACAAAACAAAGACCATCCCCACTTCAACACCGCTGGGATGCTGATTCCTGCCCTGGCTGGCTTCTGCGCTTGGCACACCACCCCATCTCACTAAACCAGCTTGTCGGATGGCTAAAGCAGCCTAAGTCTCCTTGAGTCAATGCAAAACACGACTTTACCTTCTCTGCGGAGCTGTGTCATTGACTTCAATGACACTTCCAAAACGTGCATGGTCAGGAAACCAAGCCAGTCATTCCAGATTTACACAGTGCAACTCGAAGGAGAGGGCAGGATCAGCAACGCGGAAATCAGAGCTGCCACACGCCGGCCTCAGACCTGGCTGAACTGATAACACCGTGGCTCGCACCTCAGCAGGGAGACAGGGTTTGAAGCCACCCAGCCACGCCTGGGTGGTTTCCGTGGGCTCTGCTTTGATTTTCAGCCTGGTTTTCCAGGAACACAAAGAACCCGAATCAGAATCACGCGTTTATCCGGAGGCAGCTCGGCGCAAGAACTTCCAGCTCCAGATCTGGTGCAACGAGGGATGCCATCGTCACGGGTTTCTTTAAATCCCAATTATTCCATGCCATCTAAATACGTACATAGAGAAATGTCTTTGTCCATTTGCTTTGGGGCTCAAAGGCAGAATGGGGTGAAAAATCACAGACTGGTTTGGGTTGGAAGGGACCTTAAAGATCCCTGCCACTGACACAGCTTTGAGAACCCTGAGGACACCCATAACGAGCTGCTGGCCCATAAGAGCTCAAAGTGTTTCTCTAGATGGGCAGGAATGCAGCCTCTTCATGTCCCCGATGCAGGTGGCTTCAGTGGAAGGGGCTAGACCTGAAAATCAGGAGCAAGGTTCCCAGCCAAGCTTTCTACTGCGTGATCTCGTCCAGGGCTTCTTCCTACCCGGCCCTTTGCTTTCCCTGATACACATTATTATCCCCATGTGACGATTTAATGATGATTTCAGTGCAAGTTAATTATTAAGCATGCTGGTGCTTCCATTGCACACCAGCCCCAAAGCACTGCCATCCACTGCTACACCTCAGAGACCATCCAGTCATTTCGAAGCACGGAGCAGAGCAATGCTGTTATTAAGCATTAACACTACCCAGCGCTTCAACAGCATTATCCCTATTGACAGGCACCCAGGTTACGAGGTCACTGTGACCATTGTGCTCAGCACAGGAGCCACCAAAGTCTGGGGACAGCTTCGGGACCAGCTTCAAGCCAAAGTGGGGGCACGGCAGCAAAGGACATGGGCGCATCCCTCAACCCAAACAGCCTCGTGAGGTTGGAGCTCCAAAGCTCACTCAGGTTGCTAGGGGAAGGCAAAAGCCCTGTTGTTCCAGGGCCAGAGGAGGTCACCTTCATCGTCACCCTCAGGCCATCAGAGTAATCCCTCTTATAGGGAGCGCAAGCAGATGGAGGGTTAGATAAGAGAAATCCTTGAGAGCCCAGCCTGCAGCACCCTTACAGAGACATCAACATTAATCCCACTTCTTTCCTACCACCATGGCAAGAAGCAGCCCCAGGAATTGAGGATGAGGAGGGCAAAATGTGCTGCTCCTTGCTCTACTTCAAATTCCCAGGGCATCCCATTTTTATCCCCATCAGTGCCTTGCTGCAACCCCCGCAGAGCTCAGCCAGCAAGAAACTAACCCAAACTTTCTCCTCTGGCCATCTAACCCCAAATAACCCCAGATTCCAGCAGAAATAGTTGTCTCCTGTTGGTGTTATTACTCCTGCTTGTATTATTGTGCCAGTTTTCAGGTCCTTGCTTGAGACATAGAGCCAACGAGGGCGAAGAAGCAAAACCCAAGCTGGGCTGGGTCTCAGCAGCATTTATAACCCGAATTTGCCAGGCTTTGAGGTTGAACTGAGGGATTTGGGCTGAAATGACACGGAAATGACAAATTAATAGAGCAAATGGGATCGGCGACGTGGGGACGACAGGGACCGACACACGCAGCCACTTAATAACACACACGCCTCCGTGGGTGAGGCAGAGCCCTGGGAGGGCCCCGGGCGAGGATGAGGCACCGGTTGCCTTCCTCCCACCCGGGCACGCTGCACCCCAGCCCCGCAGTGGGCTCAGTGCTCTCCCCATCCAACACATTGCCCCCAAGCTGTGGATGGTCCATGTGGGCAACTGCGGTGTGTGCTGCTATAAGGGAGGAAGAGGAGGAGGAGGAAGGACACAGCTAAACCCGTCCTTGCAAAAAGCCTCCTCATCTTCTTTCCTCCAAAAGCCCAGGGGTGAAACGAGGCGTGCGTGACCCCACCACGTAGGTGTCCGTCTGTCAGCAGCTCCCTGCGTAATGCCTCCTCAACATCTTGCCCAATTCCATTCCGTTTGACACATCAAAGGCACTTTTCAGCTCATACCAGCTCCTTGGAGGGCACGCAGCCAGGAAAGAGGGAAAGGAGCCTTCCCAATGCCTGCTCGACACGGTTCGACGTTCCACACAGGAATGCCCCGGTGAGGAAAGGCTAGCAAAGAGCCTCAGGAAAAGAGGGGTTTGCATGGCATGTGGTTAGAGAAACACCTTGTTTCCCTTTGGGAGCCTTCCCCATCATTTCCAGCCTTGTTGGACTGCATCTCCCGGTCAGGAGGATTTTGCTGGGTCGTTATTCACCCCTTGGGAACCTAGGAGAGCCTCTTTAACGCTGCCTTTGAGCCATAAAGTCCCGTGGATGCAAAACACATCCACTTCCAAGGGGGCTCAGCGGTGGGAGAGCAAGGAAAGGGTTTGTAGGACGGGAGCAAGACGCGTTCGATGCAGCTGGAGCCACAGACAGGGCTGAAGGGAAGCGGCAAGTCATTACCCGGGCTGGAATGTGGCCAGGGTGTCTTGAAATACCAGCTTGCAAAACTTTCACCAAAACACGCCAACGGAGCGGGTGTTTCTAGGATAACAGATCCGACTTTTCCCTCTGCAGCTGCCCCGGGAGCAGCAGCGCCAGGGAAAACCATTAGCAGGAATTAAGGCTGTAACAGAGCCCCGGTCCCTCGGGATGCTCTTTGCTGAGCTCAGGACTCGGGGTAGAGCCGGAGGTGAAAGGCTCGTTTCTTTGCAGTCCCTTTGTCTTGCTGTGGGGAGGAATCCCTCCTCAGCGCTGATCCCATGGGATGTGTGCAGGTCTGGCTGCAGCCAGCAGAAGGCAGCAGTGAAGGGAGCTTTTTAGTGCTTTTGGGGATGTAAAGAGGGTTTGAAGTGGTTTTACCCATCTCCTGCATGCAGAGCTTCGCTCACCCTGTGCTGGAGTGATAGGACAAGGGGTGATGGGTTTAAACCGAAACAGGGGGAGTTCAGGCTGGATGTAAGGAAGCTCTTCCCTGTGGGGGTGGTAGGACACTGGAATGAATTCAATAGAGAAGGTTTGGATGAGCCATCCCTGGCAGTGTTCAAAGCCAGGTTGGATGGGACTTGGAGCAAGCTGCTCTAGTGGAAGGTGTCCCTGCTCGTGGCATGGGTTGGAGCCAGATAAGCTTTAAGGTCCCTTTCAAACCCAAACCATTCCATGATTCTCTGGCTGCTCCTTCAGAGCCAGCCATGGATAACCCCAGCACTGCATAAGGCACAGAGGTGGCATCACTTGAGGAAGGCAAGATGCAAAGAGAGATCTTTCCCATGGCCGAGGGTTGGAACTTGAGGTTTTTTCCAACCCAAACCCATTTGAAAACATGAAATCAAGTCCTGGCACAAGGCTGCAAGGACCACGAAGGAGCCAAGAATTCACTGTTCACCATCACTAAGCCCTTCTTCCATCCCCAAACCCTCAACCTCAGTCCCCAACAGCTCCCTGATGCACAGCACTGAGAGCTCCCCCCCATTGCAATCCCTGCCAGCCAAGGGATGGAGGGCAACCCCATGGGAACCTGGAAGGAGACGTGGCACCATGGCCTGTGTCCATGCAGAGCCTGTGGCTTTCTGCTGGCATTCCCAAGAGCAAAATCACTGCCCTTGTTGAGCAACAGCTTGAAAGGCAAAAAGAAAAGGTAAGGGCCCGAGATGACAGGGGTAGGATCCACCCTGCCTGGCTACGGGCAGCGAGCACCCCCTGAGCACCAGCCCAGGCGCTGGCAAAGCCCTCGCTCAATGCCCTGGAAGGAGCAGCAAGGGAGCTAAAGGGATCCACAGTCAGGCTCTGCAGCGATCAGCTGCCTTTACCCAGGCTCCACCACCCCATGCAGGCACCTCCAGCTTGTCTGTGGCTCCCCACATAGGCAAAGCATCCCCCAAAGCCAGCCGAGCTCCAACACCAAAGCACTTCTTTGCTATGGTTGAGCTGCCTTGGCAGCCTGGGAGCAGCTCCAGGAGCTTCACTTCGCTTTCCGTCCCAACATCCCGTGTCAACCGAACACACTGGGAATGAGAATTCCCCATTCCAGGAATGCTCCTCCAGCCTAACACCAGGAACAAGACATCCCAGACAGAACTGCAGCCCTCTCCAGCCCGCAGGCCCATGGAGGAGGGGAACGTGAACTACACCTCTGCTAAAGAACCACCCAAAGGCTGGTGAGAGGTGGTAAGAGGGAAAAGCAGAGGAGGGAGCAGGGCTTCGTTATGCAACCGCGTTATCTAACGACCACAGAGACACCCTATAGGGGCTCTTTGTTTGCAGAGGGCAGGATAAAGAAATGCCACCAATATCTGAGTCACTGGTTCACCAAGAGGCTCCGGAGCTATTTTCAGGTGGAAACTTTTCCAGTTTCACATGATAATTTGGGAGGACTGGCTAATTCCCTGGCTCCACCCACCGCCTTGTAACACAGCTCCCTGCTGCTCTTGCATATATAGATAGGTATGGCCCTACAACTGGGTGCAGACAGAAGAGCCTGGAGACAGAGGAAACCCGGACTTTCTTCTTTCCCAGCCGCCCTCTACCCTCTCCCACCATGAAGAAGGAAATACTGACCCTGGCCTTTGCTCGAGCCGTCTTCGTCGAGTTCCTCTCCACGCTCATCTTCGTCTTCATCGGCCTCGGCTCAGCCCTCAAGTGGCCCTCAGCCCTGCCCAGCATCCTCCAGATCTCGCTGGCCTTCGGCCTGGCCATCGGCACGTTGGTGCAGGCGTTTGGCCACATCAGCGGCGCCCACATCAACCCGGCCGTGACCATCGCCTTCTTCGTCGGGAACCAGATCTCCTTCCTCCGGACGCTCTTCTACGTGATTGCCCAACTGGTCGGGGCCATCGCTGGGGCTGGCATCCTCTATGGGGTGACGCCGGCCAATACCCGTGGTAACCTGGCCATCAACGCTGTAAGTATCCCCACCTGGAGATGGTTTGCCTTGCCGGGCGCGTTCCCCTTCCCTTCTGAGTGGGTCGCTCGTGCCAGCGCCAGCTCGGAGAGCCGAATCCATCTCAGTGCATTGCATAGAGGGATGGGAATGGGCTAGGAGCAAACCCCGGCATAGCCAGTGCAGGATTGACATGACAGATTCATTGTGCGGGGTAATAAATGGCATGTTTTTTTTCCCCTTCTTTAATAAGTGCTTCCTTTATCCTAAGGGCCTGAGTGAGTCACCAGCACCATTGAGATGTTCTTGACTGCAGCCTCTCCACCTGGAGATTAGTGCTGGGATAGGAGCTGTGCCAGGACAGAGGCTGGAGGGCAGGGAGCAGAGCCAGCACGGGCAGGGGGAGCGGAGCCCGCTGGCACTGCTGCACTGGGGGAGCTGGGGATGAGAGGAGGATGGAGAAGAGCTGAAGGATCAATCACGGGGAGGCAGCGAGGGGCTGCTCTTGGAGGAGAAGGGGGGCATTGGCCCCCTGGGAGATAAGTGGGGATGAGGAGCTTGTCTCAAACCCTTGGGAAGAGCTGGGAAACCACCTGAAATGGGAGCAGTGGAGCTCCTGCTCCAACCACATCGGGTCTGGCCCCCTGGGATCAGCACAGGCTTGGGGCAGAGGGATCAGTCACTAGGGTGAGATGCTGCGTGCATCTCGTTCCCACACGCTCCCGGTCCCAAACCGGTCAGCTTTAGCTAAAAACCATGGGTCTTGGGGCACTTTATCCTTCCCAAGCCCAGTGGGGTCCAGTCCATCTGACAGATCCCAACGGCGAGCACAAAGGTGCTGGGACAACAGCCCAGCCTTCACCCCAACCCCCTCCCTTCATCCCGTGCCCACAAAGCGGAGGGGGAGATGAACCAGGATGCAACAGCTTGCAAGGATCAAGGGGAAAAGAAACAGAGGGGGAAAAAGGGGCAAATCCATGTGGGGTTTGGTGGGAAAACACCGAGTGTAGCGGAGACAAGCAAGTGGAAAGAGACTGGAGAGCGCTGGGAAGGGAGAGATCAGGAGGGAGGCAGATTTGGGGCCAAGAAAGGTAGTTTCTTTTCAGGGAAAGAAGCCCTGGAAGCAGAGCACCTTGTGCCCAAAGGCTGGGCAGGGGAGCTGGGGGGCTTCTCTTGCATGGCTTTGCAAGCCCAAACCCACCAGCAAAGCCCTCAAGTGGTGTTGCTGAGCCCTAGGGCTGGGTGATGACTGTTGGCTTTTGCTGGTTGGCAGCTCAACAACAACACGACCCCCGGGCAGGCCCTCGTGGTGGAGATCATCCTCACCTTCCAGCTGGCCGCCTGCATCTTCGCATCCACGGACAACCGGAGGAGCGGCAACGTGGGCGCCCCAGCGCTGTCCATCGGGCTCTCTGTTGCCGTGGGGCACTTGGTGGGGGTGAGTGGCCAGGCAGAGGGTCCTGCTGGGACAGAGCTCCCCCAAAATAACCCCCCTGCGGTCGGTCCCAGAGGGAGCTGCATTGGGAGAGCCAACGGGACATAGCAGGGCTCCTTGTCCATGGTGATGTGGGGAAGGATGGCATCCATCCCAGGCTCCCTGCAAGAGAGACAGCACCAGGGACCGCTTCCATCCCTGCTCCTGGGAAGTTGTCCCTGCCTGCTAAGCCAGAGGTTAAGGTGCAGAGGCCGGGTTCAGATGCTGCACCTTAACTTGGTCTCCTTTCCACACCGACAGATCTACTTCACCGGCTGCTCCATGAACCCAGCGCGCTCCTTCGGGCCCGCCGTCGTCGTGAGGAGGTTCAGCTCGGCGCATTGGGTGAGCATCAGGGCTCGGGACCAGGCTGCATGAGATGCAGGGCAAGGGAGAGGGCAGTGATTGCACCAGGGCGGGATGTTTTCAAGCCTGAAAGGATAAAAGGGGCTGGAGAACATGTGATGAATGGATTGGAAACAGGTTATCCCCATAGCACAGAGCCAGTATAGCCCCCATGCAACGGTGCAGAATGAGCTAGGGCATCATCTGATGTCCATAAAGCCCATGGAGAAGCCCAGCTTTGGCTTTCCACTCACCCACTGAACCTGCAAGCTCAGACCCAACCTTTCAGAGCAGGCTTGGCGCTTCCTTTCCAGCACACCCCATCTCTGCACTCATAAAGAACTTGATGTCTTCAGCAAGCAAAGCTTAAGAGATTTCAGCCCAAGAAGTCTACTGGGATGGGTATTTGCATCTCTGCATGGGACAGGAGATGCGGAGCAGTGAGGAATGCTGGTGTAATGGCTGGACGTGGTGCACCATCCTCCAGGACCTGCTTTCACCCTCTTCCTTGTTTGCTTTCTAGGTGTTCTGGGTTGGACCCATCCTTGGGGCTTGCTTGGCCTCACTGCTCTACTTCTACATCCTGGTCCCCTACTGCATGAACCTGTCAGATAGGGTTGCCATCATCAAGGGCACCTACGAGTCAGAGGAGGAGTGGGAAGAGCAGAGAGAGGAGAGGAAGAAATCCATGGAGTTGACCCCACCATAGGAAGAGTTAGGAAAGAGCAAGCAGAAGGAGGGGAGGAAGCCCCACACATGGGCTCATGTGTGCACCAATGACCACATCCAGCTACAGCAGACTCTTAAGCAAAAGCCTTGCAACCCAAAGACCACCTGTGGCTAAGAAAGGAGCATTGCAGTGTCTGTATATAACCCCTCTACACGAGTGTGAGCGCTAGAACCTCTCCTAAGCTTAACTGCAGCCAGCGAAGGCATCTCAGCCTAGGGCAGCCTCAGCTGCAGCTTTGCACCCATGGGGCTGCATCCCTGCCCTCCTGGGTGCCAGTTGTGCACCGCTGGCAGGGGCCTGAGCCCGCATGTGCTGGTGCACAACAGGATTTCACCCCTGCATCTGACGGCCCAGGGGATGGAAACACCATGTAGAGCCCAGCAGAGAAGAAGGACCGCTTTGGGCAAGGTGGGTGCAGCCCAATCCCCCGCTTCCTCCCCGCCACAGGGCCAACGCTACCCATAGATGCTCTTTGTCACGCATTAGCTGGTGCTGGTGAGTCCTATTTATTCATGGCTGCGGAAAGAACCATGATTCGTGCATTTTGTGTCGAGATCTTTGTAATATAGGATATTATTTATTGTGAATAAAGGGAATTTTAAACAAGCCACGGGCATCAGATTGTAGGAGGAAAGAATGGGTGAAGCTGGCTGCAGAGACATCCCAAAGGGTAGGAACCATCCCAAAGGGTAGGAACCACCCCAAAGGGCAAGAGACACCCCAAAGGGCAGCTCCTAGACCCCAAGCCCTGTGGGAACAGGCACTATGGGGTGGTTTGGGAGGCGATAGTGGCTAGGATGAACCAGTGCAGGAGATGCCTCACAAGCAGGACCCAGGTCCAGGGCAGTGTGAAGCCCATCAGCAGGGCTGGCAGGAGCAGGGAGGAGCAGGCAGCAATCCTTCACGCTCCAGTTTGAGTCAGGCTTTCTGCCATACCAGTTCTCCCACTGGTGCCCTCAAAAGCTGACCCACAACGCTCCCAGCCCCTCGCCCGGTGCCAAACCCACACCTTCGCCCTGACCTCCTGCTGGAGCCCTGCTCTTCCAGTTCTGCCACCACCTTCTGCCAAAGCGCCTCGCGCCAGCCTGGCCGTGGGGACACCGGCTCCATCCCTCCCCTCTGGCTTCCCAAATCCAGCCCCAGGCAAAGCTCCATCGCAGCCCCGCTTTGTGCTGCGGAGATGAGGCTTCTGCTGAGCACAGACCCCAAAGGAGGTGGGAGATGCTCGTCCAGGAGCTACCTGATGCAGCTTGATGCCCATCAGATGGGTCATGCCCCCTTTGCATGGGAGATGGGCAGCATCACCCCTATTTGAAGCAGCTTTGCAACCCAGGCTGAGCCTGGGTAGCAGCAGACCCTTATCCCTCCTTTTCCTTTACCCTCTCTGCTCTGGCCCTCAACACAAGAGGTGGGGGACAAGCAAGAGGAGAAAAGGAGGGGAAAAAGCCCTTAGTTTGGGTCACACAGAGCTAAGGAGCTAAACCCACATCCTGTACCCTGCCTTAACCCTCCCATGCCACCCCTCCTCAGGGACGGGCTGAGGCAACAACCCCTCTGTGCCTCAGTTTCCCCCTTTCTTAAGGGCAGAGAATAATCAGCAGCACAATCGCACATGGAATGCTGCTGCTCTCCAGACACAAGCCCCAGGGGAACACTCAAGCACCTCCAGAACCCAGAGACACCCCTCTCAAAGCACCCCAACAGCAAAGCAACAGCCCAAAACCTGCATCTAACAATCTCCTTCCACGGCAGCCCTGGCCCCTGAGGATGCACCCAGAGGTACACTGAGAGCAGGGCACCCTGAGCATCCCCCTTCGCTTTGCTGATCTAAACCCCATCCACCCCAGCATCCAGGAGTCCTGGCATACCCCACACCCCATAAAGGGACTCAGGGAGCAGCACAGCACCCCACAGAGGGGCCCAGCTCCCAGCAGCACTTCCAGTGTGCCCAACAAGCAGCAGAAAGGCGGGCTGGGTGTGAGCCCTCCATGGGATGAATCAGAGCATCTGCCACAGCAGCTCTGCGTCAGCACAAAAGGCAGCCAGCGCCTGGCTCGAAAACACAGGATGGACCCAGGCAGGGCTGGGGGGGGGCAGCGGGGAGGGGGCACAAGCAATGAACCCCCCCCTTCCCCATTGCACGGGCAGGGGTAGAGCCTGAAGCAGAGCGAGCACCGGCAGCATCCTGCCCGGTGCAGAGCTCCTGGTGCTCGTGTCACCCCTTCCCCACCCAGCTTCGTGCTGGTCCCTGGTAGATGCAATCCATGGCAGAGAGCTTGCGTTTAATCCGGCCCAAAGCCTGGCATCCTGCAAGGGATGTGAGCTCACCTGTGCCAGGGCAGAGCCCAGGTCATGGCTGGGGAGCCCCAAGGTCCTTCTGCCTGTTCCTGCCTGCCCAGGGATGGGAACAGCGGTGCTTAAACCCGGAGAAACTTGGGTCTTTTGAAGGCTTCGAGCCCCGTTTTGAATGGGGCTGTTACTGCTTTCCCCTGCTTCTCCCTGCAACGGGAGCTGCCAAGCACCCCATCACCCCCCCTCCCTATGGCCACAGGGATCCAGCACCAGTGGGGTTAGAAGGGTGTGAATTCAATCAGTGCCTTGTACCACCGGTTCCTCGCACATCCCCTGGTTTAGAGGTGCATCAGGTGAGACTATGGCACTGCAGCACATCCTTCTTGTACGTACGTGCCATAATGAGGTGCAGTTACCCCCTAAACGCCCCTACCAGCAGTTGCTTTGCACCAAGAGCATTTCACAGACTGTTTCTCATTCTGGAGCATCTTTTCCATTAAAAGAGCTTTTAAAAAGGTCCTTTTTTGTTGTTCTGGCAAGGAGGAAACCCCCAACTTTTCCCCATGTTGTAGCAACCTTGAAACCTTATATCTCCTCACGCATCAAAGAGCTTTCAACCTGTTTAAGGAAGGGCTCTTTGTGCAGCATCTAAAGTCCCTGAAACACAAGCTTGCTGGGCCATTGTAGACACAGGGGAGGGAACCAAGTGCTTGAGGAGAAACAAGATCCTGTGGCAATATCCCCATTAAACAAGGGTATTTCCAATGGGTTGTAGGTGCCTCTTTGCGTCAGCCCTTGGCAAAGGATCAGCCCAGCTCCCTCCATCCCTCGGATAAGGCTGCACAACCTGGGAGCGCATCCCTGCCACCGGGGCTGGGCTTTGCAACCCTAAATGCTTTGCTTCAAGCTGGAGTTTGACTTCCCATGGAAAGCACCTGGAGAACAAAGCAAAGCCAAGTCCTGCTGGTGGAGAACAGGGCCATGAGAGATGGAGGCAGCCAGGCAAGCGCAGGGCAGGCGGGGAAGCATCGCAGAGGGGGACTGCAGCCCACCGAGTGGCCCAGGAGAGCAACGACCCCTCCAGGAGCAGCTTTGCTGGAGAGCCCCAAGCAGCCAAGGACCAACTCAGGAGCCATAAGGAAGCCAAGCTGCAGATGTTCTCCCTTGGCTGCAGCTCCGCAGCGCACCGGGAGATGCGGGAGGCTCTCGAGATGCTTCCTGTGCATCACCCAGGGCAGCAGAGGCACGGCAGAGCCCGGCAGGATGTTGGTGTTAGTCACGCTCCAGCCTGTGCCAGCACCCACCTCCTCTGGAGCGCACGCACCGAGCTTCCCCCTCCTACTCAGCCTCTGCCCAGCCTCGAGCTGCTGCGGTCCCGGTTCTGTGACCCTTCCTGTTGGCACCGGGAGCAGCCTCCACCTCAGCATCCACCGCCTTCATCCGTGTTTGCTCGTGGGCTTCTAGCATAGAACGGATTGGGTTGGAAGGGACCTTAAAGCCCATCCAGTTCCAACCCCCTGCCACGGGCAGGGACCCCTTCCACTAGAGCAGCTTGCTCCAAGCCCCTGTGGCCAGCGTGGCCTTGATGGCATGGAGCATCCAAACCTTGCCCATTCAACCCATCCCAGTGCCCCAGCACCCTCACAGGGAAGAACTTCCTCATCTCCAACCTGAACTCCCCCTGTTCCACTCTGAACCCATCACCCCCTGTCCCATCGCTCCAGTCCCTGATGCAGGTCCCTCTCCAGCATCCTTGTACCCCCCTTCAGGCACTGGAAGCTGCTCTGAGCTCTCCACGCAGCTTCTCTGCTCCAGCCCCTGAGCATCCTCATGGCCTCCTCTGGCTTTTCTCCCCCACCTCCATGTCCTTCTTATGCTGAGGACCCCAGCACTGCACACAGGTACGACTCGGGTTGAATGCAGCAGCACGTCGGGTCAGGCTTCAGCACCCACCAGCAATGGGCACCACTGCTCAGGTGAGTGTGAAGCCACCAGTGCTCTGCTTTGGTCCTTGCTTCAGCATCGGTGCAGTGCACCAAGGCCCTGCTGAGTGCATGGGGAGATGCAGCACCATAATACACGGGAATACAGGAGGAGGATTGCCCCAAATAAACCTGCAATTCAAGAGAAGAAGGGCAGAAGATGTCCAGAGCCCTGGGAGGGCAAGAGGATCTGTTCCCACCTCAACACCCCCCTAGAGCCCTAAAAATGCCTCTTTAAAGCACCTAAAGACTTGGAGTTATTTGAGTTATAGTCGATATAATAATAGGGAGTTATTAACAGATGCCTCAAGGCTGGGGACCAGAACGGGACAGTGACTGGGCTGGTCCTGCAGTAAGCCTGGAGCAGCACCCATGGGTGCCTGGGACATCTCTTGCTGCCCTCTGCTGGGATGCTCCATGGAGAACAAGCAAGAGGCCGGGAAAAGCCTCACCAGAGGGAGGTTTCTTAAGAGTAAAAGGGGGATAAAAACCCCATTCCTGCTTCCAGCCACTCTTCTCCAAAGAGCAGCCTCAGCATCCCATATGAAAACAAGGCTCTCTCCCTGCCTGGACCACAGGCTCTGCGCTGCTGGCTCAGGGCTGCGTTTCTGCTGCCAACTTCCCTCTTGCTCCAAGGTTTTGCCTCCCCTTCTCCAGGATACAGCCCCGTTTGTTCTTCACCTCCCTCCTGCAAACAGGCAAAGTCCAAGAGCGGCCCCAAGAAGGGCTCCTTGTGCTGCGGGGTGGCGACGGCAATCAAAGAGAGTCATAAAGTAAAGAAGGGAAAACAAAGAAGCAACCCTAAGGTCTGCCTGACAAAGGGGCTTTGTTGGGAAAGGGCAGCTCCGGAGCCAGGAGGGTTTTCCAGGCACAAGGAGAGCACAAGGACTTCGCAAGCAAGGAAGGGATTAAGCAGCTTTAAGCCCCAGCCCAGTAAGAGGCCTCTGAACTGGCTGAGCTCCCACCCCGGGACTGATGCACACTCAGCATTTGGGCTGCTCTCCCCCCAAAACAAGAGATCCCCAAGCTCGTGGCATCCAACCAGCATCAGGATGCACAGGAGGACGAGTCCCCATGCCCAGCCTTGCTGCGTGGGAAGGGTCCTGGAGAGCCAGGATCCAATGGGGCTCAGAAACCACCCCTAAAACCATAACCACCACCAAACAAAACGCAGCCCAGCATCTGGCAAGCATCCTCCAGGATACGGCCCTTGGCTGCCGGCTTGACATTAATCCTGCTTGGCAAGACAGCAAGAGCTCTCCTGCCCCCAAGCCAGGTACAGCTGCAGGTTGATATAATGCCCTCTTGTGCAGCTGGGGAGGGGAAGAACAGGAGCAAAACAAGCTCAAGATGCCCTGTACAGTTTGCCTTTTCTTGCCAAAGGACCTCAAAGAGAGAGAAATCAATTCCCCTTCCCCAAGGATTCTCCCAGCTGCTGGGATTTCCCCCCTCTCATTCCCAAGGAGGGCATTTCTCCTGTGATGGAGCAGCTCTTTCCCTGCCCGAGCAGTTCCAGCAGCAGAAAACGAACCCTTTCTTCTCTCCTGAAGGAAATTCCTTAGTTTTCAAGCTACTCACCCAACCAACCGCTTTCCAACAAGGAGCCATCCCCCCTCCTCCTTTAAAAGACCAGAGTCCATAGGAATTATGATAGCTGCTATCAGCATCCATCCGCATCAAAGGGGAAAGGGATATAAACCACTATCAGCTTATTTTGTTCCAACCAGATAAGAAAACCTCTATGGCTCTTTCACAAAGAAACCCTGCAAGAGCAGTTAATGGGGAGATAAAGCTTGGATGGAAGTCGGGTGTGTAAACAGTGACATCAAGAGGCTCCTTATCTCTGTGCCTTTGTCCCGGTGTTTGCTTTAGATGTGGGGCTCAGCACTGAAGCTGAGCATGAGGAACCAGCTCCTTTCTGCACAGGCAGCATCCCTGCAAGAGCAAGAGCCTGGCCTTGGGTTTACTCATCCCTGCCTTGGGTTTACTCATCCCTGCCTTGGGTTTACTCATCCTTTATAATTCAACCCCCAGATACGCATTTTTCCATGGAAACAGCATGTGAAGAAAACACCTTTCTCTAGCAGCAGCAGCCCCAGCTTTTCCGTGCCTCACTGTCTCGGTGCATTAACAAGGCTCTTCCCCACCACAAAGGGCTTCCATCCGCATCAAGACACGTTCCGAATCAAGCTGTAAGTGAGCCGTTCTGCAGCACCAGGGGGATCAGGAGGGAGCATCCTGCAGCACATCAGTGCGTGCTGTTTAGCACCAGCCCCAGTCTCAGAGCTAGAGCAGAGCGGTCAAATCTGGTACCCACAATTGGTAGGAGGGCCCAGGAGCTGCAGGTCTGAAGGCGACCCCTGCTCCAATCTGATGGGGCTTAATTCATGGAATGGTTTGGGTTGGAAGGGACCTTAATGCTCCTCCAGCTCCAACCCCACCATAGGCAGGGGCACCTTCCACTGGAGCAGCGTGCTCCAAGCTAGCCTTGAACACTGCCAGGGATGGAGCATCCAAACCTTCTCCATTCAATCCATCCCAGTGTCCCAGCACCCTCACACTAAGGAGCTTCCTCATGTCCAACCTAACACCCCCCGTTCCACTCTGAACCCATCACCCCCTGTCCCATCGCTCCACTCCCTGATGCAGGTCCCTCTCCAGCATCCCTGTACCCCCCTCCAGGCACTGGAAGCTGCTCTGAGCTCCCCACGCAGCTTCTCTGCTCCAGCCCCAGTGTTCTCAGCCTGGCTCCTATGGGAGCTGCTCCAGCCCCTGAGCATCCTCATGGCCTCGCTCCAGCAGCTCCATGTCCATGCTGAGGACCCCAGCACTGCACACAGCTCCTCTACAAGGCTTGGGCATTGCAAGCGTGAACCCTGCACTAACATCTTGCAATAAGGCAGCAAATGAGCTTCCAATCTGCAGGGAAAGAAGCTGAGGCCATAGGGTCCCCATTCTGCCGCTGCAGCAGGGTGCAGCTCCCCTGTTTATCATTGCACATCCCCTGGGGTAGATGGAAAGCCATGGGCAAGCCGTCCCCGGCTGAGCAAACACAGCTTCTCTATCTCAACAGGCAAGTGAATCTGGAGGCATAATTTGTCATCTAATTGCAGCAACACACCCAGGATTAATTGGTGCATTTGGATGCAAAGCAGGTTTTATTTATGGCTCGATCAGGTTTCAGCAGCCCCTTGCCAGCAAGCCCTGCCAAGGTAAAAGCCATGGCAAACAGGCAAAGAAGGGCTCAAAGAGGGAGCTTTGGCAGTGCTTGGTGAATCACACACGAAGCTGCTGAGGGCCCATTGACATCAAGAGGCTGAAGTGCAAACCTCCCTCGGCCACCTTAGCACCAGGCTCTATTTGGGGCTGTTTCAGCCCATGGACAATGATAACTCGTCTCATGAGGGCCCCCAAGACCTTGAGAGCATCACAGGCAGGAAGAGGAGGCAGGTGAGAAAACAAACCTGACAGGGCTCTCCAGATGTCAAAGCCAAGGGGGCACGGAGCAGAAAGGAATCATGTTAAAGAGGGGACATGGAGCAGGAGCAAACCCTTCCCCACCATCTCCCCTTGTCCCAGACAAACCCAAACCAACCCTACCCCTACGTGAGGGGTAGGGCAGGCTTCAAGCACGCCAGCACCAAGCCCACGTTGACAAACCCAACCCCATGGGCATCACCACAGATGCTCCTCACACGCTCACAGCTTCGCTTGCCCAGAGCTGCCCCAGTGCAGCTCCCACTGGGCCCCAGCATGACCCAGCAATGGCTTGGTGCTGGGCCAGGGTGCCCCAAGGGGCTGAGCCGGCTCCAAACCACCTCAGAGCACCCAGCACAGCCCTTAGCACCCGCTCTCCTCTGGAAGGGAAGCACCCACCTTTCAGTGCAGAGCATCATGCCGAGAGCACAGGGAGCAAGGGGCAGCCAAAGAGGACCAGGAGGGATGTCCAGGGAGCAGGAGGGATGGCAAACTCCCAGGGTTGAAGACCATGGATGGACTCAGCACCAGGCTTTGTAGGCAGCAAGAGCTCAACCAGGTGAGGTGGATTGCTGAGGCTGATTGCTGAGGTTTCGGGAGTAAAATGCACTGATTGACCCAGGTGAAAGGACAGAGCCTCTGATCTGACCCCAATCACCATCAGCTCCCATTGGTGAGGAGCTGTGGAGCAATGAGAGGATGCTGTGAGGGAAGGGAAGGATGGACAGAGGAAGGATGGACAGCTCTGAGCTCCTCACTACAAGAGAGACATTGAGGTGCTGGAGTGGGGCCAGAGAAGGGCAGCGGAGCTGGTGCAGGGCCTGGAGCACAGGGGTGATGGGGAACGGCTGAGGGACCGGGGGGGGTTCAGATGGAGAAGAGAAGGCTCAGGGGGGACCTGATCGCTCACTGACAGCAGGATGGAGCCAGGCTCTGCTCCCAAGGGGTGGGACAAGAGGAAACGGCGTCAAGCTGTACCAGGGCAGGTTTAGATGGAGCTGAGGAACAATTCCTGCCCCAAAGCGTGCTCAGGCATTGGAAGAGGCTGCCCAGGGCAGGGCTGCAGGCACCGTCCCTGCAAGCGCTCACACACCCTCAGTGCAATGGGTTAGGGGTGGCCTTGGGACTGTTGCACTGGACGAGCTTAAAGCTCTTTTCCAGCCTGGTTGATGCTCGTGGCTCCTCTCTGACAGAGGAAGGCCGCCACCTGCTGTCCATGCACACAGAAAACGGGACAAAATGGGACGAACTGAGCCAAAATCCGGCTTCTCCCGCACATCAGGTTGTCCAGAGAGGGTGGTGGATGCCCCATCCCTGGACACAATCCAGGCCGGGTTGGATGCGGTTCTGAGCAACCTCATCGAATTGAAGATGCCCCTGCTCCTTGCAAGGAGATTGGACCGGCAGGTTTTGAAGGTCCGATCCAACCCAAGCTGTTCCATGATCCTATGATCTTATAAGAGAGATTCATGCCCCCATGGTGCGGTCCTTTAGGGTGGCAGAGCCACCAGCAAGCCAACCGGGTGGAAAGGGAAGGACCACAGAGGGCGCTTGGAACCAGGAGCCCAGCATCAGTGGGGGGAGCTCCTGCAGGACCCTTCTATAACCCACCCCGCTCGGTGCTGGCTGAGCTGAGCACTGCGGGGTCCTCCGTGGGGCCGGGGAGAGGCGGGGTGGGGGGGGACGGGACCCCATCACAACCAGAGTCAGCGTGAGCTCCTTGGGTGCCATTCAGAAACCTCTCTGGGAGTGATGGGTGCAAGAACCTCTCTGGGAGTGATGGGTGCAAGAACCTCTATGGGAGTGATGGGTGCAAGAACTTCTATGGGAGTGATGGGTGCAAGAACCTCTCTGGGAGTGATGGGTGCAAGAACCTCTATGGGAGTGATGGGTGCAAGAACCTCTCTGGGAGTGATGGGTGCAAGAACCTCTATGGGAGTGATGGGTGCAAGAACCTCTCTGGGAGTGATGGGTGCAAGAACCTCTATGGGAGTGATGGGTGCAAGAACCTCTCTGGGAGTGATGGATGCAAGAACCTCTATGGGAGTGATGGGTGCAAGAACCTCTCTGGGAGTGATGGGTGCAAGAACCTCTCTGGGAGTGATGGGTGCAAGAACCTCTATGGGAGTGATGGGTGCAAGAACCTCTCTGGGAGTGATGGGTGCAAGAACCTCTATGGGAGTGATGGGTGCAAGAACCTCTCTGGGAGTGATGGGTGCAAGAACCTCTCTGGGAGTGATGGGTGCAAGAACCTCCATGGGAGTGATGGGTGCAAGAACCTCTCTGGGAGTGATGGGTGCGAGCGCTCCCGGAAGGCTGAGCTCATTAATCCCCGCTGATGACAGGCTCCGTGCTGAGGCCACCGCTGGCCCTCATTAGGAGGCTCCTCCAGATGAGCCCCTGCTGAGCACCAGCCCCGTGCTGACGGTGATGGGAGCTGCAGGGAGCTCTTCCGTAGCGCAGTAATTACCCAGCCCCGGGCAGAAAGGTCCCGGGGGCAGAGCACAGAGAGGAGCCGGAGCCTTCATCTCCTCCAGGGCTCGTGTTGGATGCAGGGGAAGCGGGGTCCCGCTTGCCTCTGTCCATTGACAGGGTGACACAGGGCACCTTTAGTCCCCTGAGCGCTGGACCGCGGGCGGTCCACAGCCAAGAGCTCCAAACTGCCCCCGTCAGAGAGAGGCAGGAGCAGCCCTCAGAGGTTCAGGGAGCTCCTGCAGCTTCAGGGAGCTGAGGGCTCCGCTCCACTGCCAGCGATGGAGCAGCCAAACCTTCCCCGTTCAACCCATCCCAGCGCCCCAGCACCCTCACACTAAGGAGCTTCCTCATCTCCAACCTGAACTCCCCCTGTTCCACTCTGAACCCATCACCCCCTGTCCCATCGCCCCAGTCCCTGATGCAGGTCCCTCTCCAGCATCCTTGTACCCCCCTCCAGGCACTGGAAGCTGCTCTGAGCTCCCCACGCAGCTTCTCTGCTCCAGCCCCAATGCTCTCAGCCTGGCTCCTATGGGAGCTGCTCCAGCCCCTGAGCATCCTCATGGCCTCCTCTGGCCTTGCTCCACCACCTCCAAGTCCTTCTTATGCTGAGGACCCCAGCACCGCACCCAGTGCTGCAAGTGGGGTCTCACTGAGCAGAGCAGAGGGGCAGGATCACATCCATGACCGGCTGCTCACGCTCCTTTTCCTGGTGCGCAGCCAGCACCAGATGATGCTGAGCAGCCCCAGTTTCACCTCTGGCCTTGGGGGACAAACCCAGGCTTGGATCCAAGGGTGTCCATGCATCTGAGCTGGGTTTTACCCTGCAGGAAGCAGCAGCATCCTGGTACCCAAACGCTTCTTTGACACCTTTACTCCTGCTTTATTCCTCTGTGTGTTTTAACTCAACCCAGAGCGGGGTGAAAGGGCAGAGAAATCAGCTCTCCCTGCAGGACCTATGGTGGCCAAGTCACCTGGAAGGAGGAAACCCACAGGTCCTTTGGGCCAACAAGGACCCAGCAACAGCGAAAGCCCCATCCCCTGCTGCACGCATCAGCTGCAGACGTGGCAACGGCCTTGCCTGCAGCAGCCCCACTTCGAGACTGCTCTAATGATGCCGAGTGACCCGTGCAGCACCGACCAGGAGCAGCAGTGACCTCCCCGTCAGCTTGCAGCATCCTCCTAACAAGCTTAAAAGCGCTGGGAAGGGGAAGAGCAGCGCCAGAACCTGCTGCAAGGAGGGACGGGCGATCCGGCTTGGAGGGCAGCGGGGCTGGGCAAAGGTAGGAGCCTTTTCCCCCCTTCTTTCCCACCAGTTTGGGGATTAAACCCTTTTCCTCCCTTCTTTCCCACCAATTTTGGGATTAAACCCTTTTCCTCCTTTCTTTCCCACCAGTTTGGGGATTAAACCCTTTTCCTCCTTTCTTTCCCACCAGTTTGGGGATTAAACCCTTTTCCTCCTTTATTTCCCACCAATTTTGGGATTAAACCCTTTTCCTCCTTTCTTTCCCATCAGTTTGGGGATTAAACCCTTTTCCTCCTTTCTTTCCCATCAGTTTGGGGATTAAACCCTTTTCCTCCTTTCTTTCCCACCAATTTTGGGATTAAACCCTTTTCCTCCCTTCTTTCCCACCAATTTGGGGATTAAACCCTTTTCCTCCCTTCTTTCCCACCAGTTTGGGGATTAACCCCTTTTCCTCCCTTCTTTCCCACCAATTTGGGGATTAAACCCTTTTCCTCCCTTCTTTCCCACCAGTTTGGGGATTAAACCCTTTTCCTCCTTTCTTTCCCATCAGTTTGGGGATTAAACCCTTTTCCTCCTTTCTTTCACACCAGTTTGGGGATTAAACCCTTTTCCTCCTTTCTTTCACACCAGTTTGGGGATTAAACCCTTTTCCTCTCTTCTTTCCCACCTCTAGTGGAAGAAATCAACCCCGAGTCATGCAAGCGGTTGGTGACGGGCATCCCAAAGTCTGGTTATCAGGAATTAAGGGCTGGAATTTTACTCCTCCTGACTGGCTAGGGCTCCTAGATAGAAATAGTGCTCCTGGATAGAAATAGGGCTCCTGGATGGATGCAGTGCTCCTGGATAGAAATAGGGCTCCTGGATGGATGCAGTGCTCCTGGATAGAAATAGGGCTCCTGGATGGATGCAGTGCTCCTGGATAGAAATAGGGCTCCTGGGTGGATGCAGTGCTCCTGGATAGAAATAGGGCTCCTGGATGGATGCAGTGCTCCTGGATAGAAATAGGGCTCCTGGATGGATGCAGTGCTCCTGGATAGAAATAGGGCTCCTGGGTGGATGCAGTGCTCCTGGATAGAAATAGGGCTCCTGGATGGATGCAGTGCTCCTGGATAGAAATAGGGCTCCTGGATGGATGCAGTACTCCTACACAGAGACTGTGATGAGGTTTCTTGCAATGAATTCTACCTTTAGATTGGCCAAACCCCTCCTTGGGGCTCTGCGCCTGCTCCTAAGCAATGGCAGAGGTGCAATGGGGAACTGTGAGGCTGCACTTCCCATTGCACCCATCCACACCCTGCCAGGACCCCCAGGCTGGATCTGTCCCATGCCACGCTGCAGGGCTGGGGGGGGGTTTGGGGGGGCAGTGGTGATGGTTTTCTCTGTCGTGACATGGATGCCTCTCTCGTGACTTTTGCCTTCTCCAGCAGGACCAATGCAGGTCGTGCGGTGGCTGAACCTCAGCGGGCTGGTGTTGGCCGTGCTGATCCCCACAGGGTGGCCGATGGGCACCAAGGACCTGGAGGACACATCCAGGTAGGGAACGTTGGTGGAGCTGCTCCAGGAGATGCTGCCATGGGCAGGGGCTGTTGGAGCAGCTCAGCCGTTGCTGTCGCTGCCTCACTGCTGCAGCGTTCCTGTTCTCATTGCTCCAGGCAGGATCCTTCCTGGCTCTCTCCCAGCCCATGCAGGGACATTGCCATGTCCAATCCCCTGGAATTCTTGGATGTGTCAGACCAGTGATGGGATGCAGTGGGACATAAAGCTTTGGGCAGGATGCATTGGGAAGGATGCATTGGGAAGGATGCATTGGGAAGGATGCTTGGGCAGGATGCTTGGGCAGGATGCATTGGGAAGGATGCATTGGGAAGGATGCTTGGGCAGGATGCTTGGGCAGGATGCATTGGGAAGGATGCATTGGGAAGGATGCTTGGGCAGGATGCATTGGGAAGGATGCATTGGGAAGGATGCTTGGGCAGGATGCTTTGGGCAGGATGCTTGGGCAGGATGCATTGGGAAGGATGCTTTGGGCAGGATGCTTGGGCAGGATGCATTGGGAAGGATGCATTGGGAAGGATGCTTTGGGCAGGATGCTGAGCTTCACTCCATGGGGAGGAAAATCCATTGGGAACCCTCTGCCGGAGTGAATTTGGGATAGGAGGGACCCCAATATCATCTCTCCATCCTGGAGGGGTTGATAGGAGCCTCGGGCATCACCACACTCCTTCCCAGGAGCAGCAGATTGGAGGCACAAACCCACCGCAGCCAAGCAAGACACAGGGCAAATAATATGGGATGAGATTTCCCACCTAATGTCAGGAATAAACCTGGCCAGGCTGGGCTGACCCCCTTGGGAAATGGGTTTTATGGATTCTTAGGGCTTTCCTGGGGGATGCTCCACACGGTCAATGCCCGAGAGGATTCTGTGCCCGGAAGGGTGCAGGATGGCACCGTGTGCATTAAAGCCACGTTGTCTGCCCCATCCCGAGCAGATGGAGCTCATCCGAGCCACAGAGTGCCCAGACCTTGGCGTCCAACAGGAAGCGGCACTCGGAAGGAACCTTCACCAGCGACTTCACCCGTTACCTGGACCAGATGAAGGCCAAGGACTTCGTGCACTGGCTCATCAACACCAAGCGGTTCAGGTGGGAAGGGAGCACCAACGACCCAGCACGGCTCCATGAGCCCCATCCCAAGGGAAAACCCCGCTTTGGGATGGTTTATCCCCACCTTTCCTCTCCTGTTTGGCAGCTCCACAAAGAGGTACCTAAAGGAGGAGCCGCGCAGCATCCCCTTCCCCGCTGCGTCCCCACTGCTGGTGTAAGTCATCCCCAACAGCCAAGGCTCAAAATGAGTAATTGGAAAACTCATGGGGATTCCCTGCCATTCATTTGTAATAGGATGAAGGAAATGAAGCTGGATGGGGTGGGGGGATTCAGTCACTTCCAATGGGAAGAGGTTGGTTTGTTCTCCCCATGCTTTCCTTCTGGTGTTCTGCACCTCACTTCAGCACCTCAGCCTAGTGGAAGGTGTCCCTGCCCAGGGGAGGGGGTTGGAACTGGATCTTGAGGTCCTTTCCAAGCCAAACCATCCCATGATTCTATGATGACCGTGGTGGGATCAGCGTTTATGGGGTGTATTATCATGGCTCGGTCTTGCTGAAGCAAAGTGGTCGCTCCTTTGCCAACGCATTAAATCCCTGTTGCTGTTCCAAAGCTCCAACTCTGATTTCAGGGGGAGTTGAAGCCGTTCCGTGTCGGTTTGGGTTTGATTTTTAAGGTACAATTAAATGGCAAACCCAGGCGTCAGCTTTCCAGCACCATCAGCATGGGGATGTTGGACCCTCCATGGCCGGCAGCCGTTGGATGCTCCAAGGGAAGGATCCATCCATCACACGCAGCCGCCTTCACCCATCCGGGCTTTCCCAGCCTCCTCCTCCTGAACCTGCTCCCTTCCCTTCAGACCCACAGTTCTCCACTTCCTTTTCCCTAAAGTGTAATAAAACCTTCCCTAAATCCTGCTGCTCATTCCTGATGTCTCCAACCTTCCTGAGCATCCCATGGGGATCCCACGGCCACTGGTCCTGGGGGATATCAAAGCATCAGCCTCCGCCCCCAGCTTGGTTCCAGTGCCTTGTTTTTCCCTCAATTCCTGGAGTTTTAAGGAAAAGGACAATTGGGATGCACATGCTGAGCCCAGACCTGTGCCAATGGGATTTAGGACTAAACCCCCCCCCCAATATGAAGGGTAACTGGGATCCCTTTGGATTTAATTTGTATTGAATTCTAATGGATGATCCAATGGATGATGCTCTGATGGGGGATTTCTACCCTGTGCCAGAACCTTCATCCCACCTGGTCCCATTCCGGATCCCCTTGCACACATCCCTACTCTGTCTGAGGTGCCTTGTGTGACATTGCCACCCCCTGCCCCCTTCGGCAAGGAGCCCACTGCGATTCCTGGCAGAAAACAAGGTTAAAAAATATAAAAATACATGAAATAAACGTTTAAAAATTAAAATTAAAATAAGAAATGAAGAGCCCCCCCCCCCATTTTAAAGCCCAAACCAACGAACAATCACTGTTGAGGGGGTGGCATCGGTTTATTGGGGGACGGATGACGATGGACGGACTCAGCGGACGGGGGCTCAGCGGCGGCGGCCGAAGCGCTGCGGCGTCGCCATGGTCCAGAAGGGGGCGGCCGGAGGGTCCCAACTGCGAGGGCTGAGCTGGGGCTGGACCCCCACCCTGTGATGGGGCAGACGCATGGACTGGGTAGGATGGAGGTAGGGAGAAGGGGATACAGGGACAGAGGGACCGAAGGGGACAGAGGGATGCAAGAGGGTGGACAAGAGCAGACTGGTACAGAGGGACAGAGACAGAGGGACAGAAGGGGACAGGGGGATGCAAGAGGATGGACAAAAGCAGACTGGTACATGGGGACAGGGACAGAGGGACCGAAGGGGACAGAGGGATGCAAGAGGGTGGACAGATGGACAAGAACAGGCTGGTACATGGGGACAGGGACAGAGGGACCGAAGGGGACAGAGGGATGCAAGAGGATGGACAGATGGACAAGAACAGGCTGGTACATGGGGACAGAGACAGAGGGACCGAAGGGGACAGAGGGATGCAAGAGGATGGACAGATGGACAAGAACGGGCTGGTACATGGGGACAGAGACAGAGGGCCGAAGGGGACAGAGGGATGCAAGAGGGTGGACAGATGGACAAGAACGGACTGGTACAGTGGGACAGGGACAGAGGGACCGAAGGGGACAGAGGGATGCAAGAGGGTGGACAGATGGACAAGAACAGGTACAGTGGGGACAGGCGGACAGAAGGGGGTGGAACAGATGGAAGCAGACTGAGGGACACGGCCATGGGACATCCACAGACAGACGGACCCTAACGGGGACCCGGCACCATCCAGGCCACTTCCTTGTCCCGCTCTGGGTGCCCCCCCAAACTCCCGGCTCCCCCCTAAACCCTCCCGGCCCCCCCTCGGGTCCCGCTCACCTCTGCGGCTGGACGGGGGGTCCGGGGCTGCGGCCGGGCCGCTGCAGAGACCGGAGCATCGCGCCCAGGAGGGCTGCGGGAAGCGGCGGCCCCGGTGAGACGGCGGCGGCGGCCTGCGGGGAGGGGTCGGACGGGGAGGTCGGGAGGGGAGGGGGGAGGTTACGGCAGCGCCGGACCCAAAGGGTTCCACCGCCCCCCCCCCGCAACAGAAGATCCCGTCCTCAGCCCCCTCCCCACCCCCTGACGGCGCTCACCGGGGCCAGGTCGGGGTCCATGGGGCAGGAGCGGGGCGCGCACAGGGCCCCCCCCAGCAGCAGCAGCAGCAGCAGCATCCGCCCGTCCATCGCCCCCACCGCCCGCTGCCGTCGCCGCCTCTTATTATAACCGGGCCGGAGCAGGGGGTCCCGGGGGAAAAGGCCGGGGGTTAAATCAATCCCGGCCCCCCCGCCCCTAATGGAACCCATTTACGAGCCGCGACGGCCCCCGGGGATGGACGGATACGGACGGGTGATGAGCGGATGATGACAAATGGACCGGGGCCCCTCCGCATCCCCCGCCTGGGACCTTCAACCGGCACTACCGGGGCTGCTCGGACCGAGAGACCCCCCCCAAATCCCGGGATCCTCTCCTCAGAGCGGGACTCCCCAAAGTCAGGACCCCCCCTCGCTGATCCCAATCCCCGACCAGGGACCCCGAGACAGGGACCCTGCCCCTGCACCCCCCCAACCATCCCGGTCCCCTCTCGGTCCCCCCTTCTTCTCCACCGCGGCTCATCTCCGCCACCGTGTGGCCGCGCTGCGCTATTGCAGCCCCGACGGGACACACAGATCGCGTGTTTCTCGCGCTCCCTTTGCCCCAAAACAAGCGGAAATCGCCCCAAATCTGCCCGTGGGTGCCCCGGACCACCGTGAGTCCCGTCCGTCCCCCCCCCCCCCAGGCAGGTTCACCGGCTGCCACCCCGCGGTACCCCAAGTTATGGCTGGATGGTATCACAACCCCACGGTGCCCCCAAGGAGGACTGAGAGCATCACCCAAGCAGGTGACAGCCCTGTATCCCCCAGACGGGTGCCCCCCCGCACCCAGGTCACCTCCCCTGAAGCAAAGGGCAGCAGGCGCCGGCTCCTGGGTAATATTTAATGTTATATTTGCAGCATAAATAAAAGGCACGTTACATGTTTGGTACGAGACGTGTCCCCCCCGTGTGTCCCCGTGTCCCCAGGGGGCTGTGAGGACCCGCTCACAGGGTGGGGGGGCACCGCGGCAAGGGGGTTACAGCTGGAACAACCATAAGGAGCTGCGCATCCGCTTGGGAAGTTGCTTATACGTCTATATAGGGCTGTATATACTCAATAGATACGTGGGGTTTCATAGATACTACACCCTCGGGGGGGGGGGGGGGGGGTCCTTTTTCTTGGCTTCTCCCATGGAAGCTCGGCAAAGGAAGCAGCGGGGGGGGGGCAAAGGGACACCCCAGACCTTCCTCCCCCCTCCCCAGGGACCCTCGTGTCCCTTTGTCACCTCCTGGGCTTGTTTCAGGGCATGGAAGTTGGGGGGGGGGAACCAGAGCGAAACGGGTCCATGAAGTCCAACACTGACTGCATCTGCTGAGTCATCACAATCCAGAACCAAGGAGGAAAAGGGGCACCGATCCCAAAATCTCCCTAATCCCGACGGAAGGAGCATTCCCAGGGTTCAGCTGGGGAATGACCACACTGGGATGTGGGGCTCAGCCATTTCTATTCACCAGGACAATGAATCCCAGTGGCTGGTGCCACCCTTGGGGGGTCTCCCTACCTCCCCATCACCACCAGAACATGGGCTTCAAACTCCTGGCGGAGCCCCAGGGTCACATCAAATGGGCCACAGAGGAGGGATGGATGGTGCTGGGTGAACCTAAGCTAAGGCAAAGAGCAGGGCCTGGGGTGCTCCATCCCTTGGGAGCATGTGAAGAGCAGGAGGAATCACCCTGAAGCACAAAGCAAGAGGCCAGTGGGGCTTCCTGCCCTGAACGCCTTCAAGCAAGAGCTGAACCAGGAGGAGAGGAAAACGCCTTCACCCTCTCCCATCACCATGGGTCCAGGGGGAGCCTGCACCACCAAACTGGTTGGAAAGGCCACCTTACACCCAAAACCACCCCCAAAGCCAAAACCTGCCCTCTCCACCTACAGCCTGGAGAAGGAACCTCACAGAGACGTGATGAGGAAGGAGAGGATGATGCAGGGCAAGAACCCAGCAGCCCTTTGGCTCTTTGGAGCTGCTGGAAGTGCTCGGAGCCCATCGGCTCCCTGAGATCAGCACAGGCATGATCCAGGAGAGGAGAACACAGTAGAGAGCCTGGAAAGAGGCACCCAAGGGTGCCCATCCCACTGGGAAAGCAACAGCCACCAGTGACATTCAGCTCCTGAGGTTTGGGTCTGGCTCAGCATCAGCTTCTGCGACCACAACAAGGATGAACCTCACCCCATGTGCTCCAAAGTAGCATTTATGGCTTGGGAAGCCCATCCATCACACTGGGATGGGATCAGACGGTTCCAACCAGTTGCTGGCTGGGGGGAGATGCGTTAGCAAAGGGTCACGCTGGGCTTTTGGTTGCCTTCCCCACTGCGGGGATGCTGTTGGCAAGACCCCAACCCTGCTCAGGGACCTGCTCCCACAGCAGTGATTCAGGTATCGGATGCTTTGGGGTTAAAACACCCCCAAAAAGGACACAGAAAGCTGGAACCCTGTCGATGAAAGGAAGGAAACTATCAAGGTTTGGTCGACACTTGTTCCCTGCCCAGGTGTGGAGCTTTACAATGGTGTTTCCATGGATGTGGGGGTTTTCCAAGGCACTAAGCAGGGGAGCACAGAGGGACAGGGGAGCACCGACGGCATCGGGAGCACAGGGGGACAGGGGGAAGAGCCACTCTCTGAGTCCCCATTCATCACCAGCACTGTCTGAGATCTCTGCTCTCCCACCACAGGAAACGGGGTCACTTTTAGTCCCTAAAGGCAACATTAAGGGCCGGGGAAGCTGCTGCACTCGACGCCAGCGCTGCCCTGTGCGGCCCTGTCCCCATCTGCTGCCCCTTCCCTAACCACCCCCTCACCTCTGCCTCATCCAACCGGCCCCAACACCACGAAGCAAACAAGGCACCAGCGGCAGGATGAGCCCCAAGCCCAATTCCTGCTTCTTCCCTGCCTTCCATCACCCTTATCCCTGGCCAGACGGGGTTTTCCTGCCGAGCCTAGGAGGAGCTGGTGAGCTGCGGTGGGACCCAGAGCACTGCACACCAAAGAACAGGGATTCAAGGAAGCAAATATGTTTAGAACACATTTTTGTCATTCCTGCTATTGCCAGGGAAATAAAGGCGCTTGTTCCACCCCCCTTGAAGCAAACTGGGCACATCCCAAGACCAAAGCAGGTTATAGATGGGGTTTTCTGCTGCTCCCTGTCACAGCTCCACAACCCGCATCCACCAGCAGCCCCAAGAGAGGATCCAGAGCCAGGCTGGATCTTCTGTGTCCTGCAAAACCTTTCGATCCTGCCCATCCCAAACAGCTCCTGAGCCCTGGCCTGGCAGAAACCTCTTTCTGCCCAGGTCTCAGGGTGCTAAGACATCCAGAACCCCCACTGCAGCAACGCAACAACGCTGGGATAGGAAGAGCTGAAATATCGGGGCGCAGACTCTGCAGAAGCAGCTTTCCAGAAACAAAAAGAGGGTCCAGGGGAGGCCTGTGAAGGATCTGAACCGGGAATGAGAACTGCCAAGGCCGGAAGTGACCCCGATTCGACACGAGACAACTCTGGAAGCAAGAGGAGCCAAAGGAGCGCGAGAGCAGCATCAAGCAACCAAACCCAGACCCGCCGTGGCCAACACTGCCAAGGTGAGGAGAACCTGAAGAAGAGGGAAGAAGGGGCAGGGAGACAGATCCCATCGATGAGAAACACCAATGGCCGAGCTGCCCCCATCCCCAACGGGATCTGGTTTCTTGCTCAGACCACGCTTTGGGTTTTGCTGTCCCTGGGAACCTTCCAAGTGTGGAGAAGCCAAACGCAATCACTTTGACCACCAACTTGGCTCAAAAGTGGCGAGTGCAACCTGAGGTGGGCGAGAGCTCAGGTGAGGAGGGACCTCCCGAGGAGGAGGAGAGGAAGACCAAGGCCTGCTGCGGCTCCATGGACTTTGGTGAGGTTCCTTCCACGAGCCCGAGCGCACGGAGCACCCCTTCCCGCTTCCAAACGCCCGATTCCAGTCGCTTGCTGCCTCGGGAAGCGCAACACAGACACACACACACACACACACACACTCCCCCACCCCAAAACCAACCCGATTCCAAGCATCTTTCAACATCCAGGCTGGGGTTTTAACCCAGCCCATGAAACTGGAAGCTCTGCTCTTCCTTTGCTCCAGCTGGGAAGCGACAGATGCTCCGTCACCAAGAGCGGAAGAGAATCGTGAAGAAGAGGTAAAAGCCCAGGCAAACAGAAACACTGCATCGTGCTCCCTCCCTTGGAACAGGCAACTGATTCATGAGTTAAGGCCACCATCGTTAAGGTCATGGAGTTTACATGTAGAGGAGATGATCCTTGGAAATGGAGGGATTTCTCTGTAGTGGAGTTGGGAGCAGATGATGAATTCTGGGACTTGGCTTATCCCTGCCTGCTGGGACGGCTCATCCTTGCGTGCACCTCCCAGAGCACCTTTGCACCGGTCCCAGCGGGCACAGAGCAGCACCAATTCCTGTAGGGAAGACTGAGAGCAGCCCCTCTGCTGCTAAACCAGCCGGTACCTTTACTCCAGCAACCACAGCATCCCAGTACGAGAGCATCCATGAACGTCTGCAGCTCCCGGGGCGGCACAAGCGACCGGGAACACGCGTGTGTGTCCCCAGCCCCGTGTCCCCCCTCTCCCAATCACTGGGCACAAACTGATTTATGGCAATTCCATTCCCAACGTGTCCAAAAACCTGTTGCTGGCATCTTGGGAGGGAGCGTGCGAGGAACCAAACCTCGATCCCTTTAACCTCAGAGCTCAGGGAGGCTTCTTGTGCGAAGGTGCAATGTTTCAGGTAGCGAGAGCAGAGGGGGGAGCAGATGCCTGGAAGCAGCATGCTGTTAAAAATAAAATACATTGACAGCACGACTAAATGTCACAGCCTCCCAAGAGCTGTTTTCCTTTGCTGGGAGTGAGGAGGAGGAGGGAGAAAGGGGAGACTTGGAAGAGTGAAAAGCGCCAAGGGGATGCACTGAGCATGGAGGTTTAGTGTTAATGTGAGACCTGAAAGCGAACCTTTCAAGGTGCTTTTCCAAGTGAGCTCTGCGTGTTGACAGGTTGCCAACCCCGAGAGGTGAGGCCATCCCCGTGGGGACAGGCGGTGGCCGGGCAGGGTCTGTACAGGCTGTGCAGCGTGAGAAGCGCCACGGCTGCCCTCCGCTCGCTTGCAAAGACTCAAAAGAAGGCAAGAAATACAAATCCTCCTCATCTCCCCCGAGGCGGCAGGGCCACGGGTGCGCTCGGTGTCGGCGGGGAGCTCCGTGTCACACGCCCCAGGCTGGGACATCATCTGCCAGCAGACTGGGACTGTGGGGCCATGATGACGTGTGACGGGACCGGCAGGCTCAGTTCTGTCCTTTGACTCGCCATCTGCGTCAGCACCGAGGTGGCAACGGCTTCTGCTGCCGAGCGCACGCTGAGCCCGTTGGGAGAGCCCGTCACGGAGCTGTGCTGGATCACGGGAGCAGGGGAGCCCGTGGGCTCCGAGCTCTCCTTTGGGCTTTCTGCTTGGCCAGACAAGGAGAAAGGGATGGAAGGAAAAGAGGAGAAAATCAGGTTACAGAGACGGTGAGCGTGTTGCCGCCGGGTGGTAGCGGCAAGGCGGTGGGATGGGAGATCGCTCCTGCTTCAAAGCGTGTGCAGAAATCAGTCAGGGATTTACTCAACGCTCACCTTTCACTGAATCAGAGGACCACGGAATGCTTTGGGTTGGAAGGGACCTTAAAGCTCCTCCAGCTCCAACCCCTGCCACGGGCAGAGACACCTTCCGCTAGAGCAGGGTGCTCCAAGCCCCATCTAAACCTGGCCTTGAAATTCCCAGCCTGGAGCAGAGAGGCCGATCCCTGCAGGAATCCCAGCTCCTCCCACCAAGCCGGGCCCCTCCTCAAGCAGCTGTTTGGCAAAAGCAAGGGAGGGCTGGAAATAAAACTGATTAGAGTTGGGACATAACGACCCGGCGGGTCCTGCTGGCCCCATCCCTTGGTGAACCACCAGCAAATCTTCCTGAACTGAGGCCAGGAAGGCATAAAGCTGCACACCAAGGACAAGCAGACCCTGCATAACCTTTAGTGTAATAAATCTGTTTCCTCATTAGAAGAAATGAACTTTCCTACATGTTGTTTCCTGGCATGGTACTTGGTTCAAGGCCATTTAGCCCAGAGACTCAATAGCTCCTTCAGAGGCTTTGCCATCTGTTGGTGAGCACACGGGTAAACGTGCACTGAAACCCTTCTGTAAAGCAGGGCTTTTTTGGGCCGTTTTTAATAGAAATTACCTGGTTTGCTCTTTATTGTCCTCTAGAACATTAAAATCAATTAGAGCCCATCACAAACTGTTTCCTTGCTCCATTTCTTTGCCTAACCTGAAGCAGTTGAAGGGACGGGAGGCAGAGAGCTTCTCCTGCGCTCCATTCCGAGTGATGTGGATCGGTGTGCCACCACTCTGGATTCCCTCCCACAAACAGCCCCTTGTGCCCCTGTGCAGAGCTTCAAACACAAAGGGTAATTTGTGACCTATCAAATGCCAAGGCGAGAGCGATCAGACCTCTCTCTTTAGGGGTATACACTCATTACCCACACATGTCAGGAGGAAATTCCCTCCTGTGCACTTGGCTAGATGAATTACAGGTAAGATGCGGTCACCTTCCTTTAAAAGAGCAAAATAATGGCATGAGGTGGGATACTTCTTCCACGTCAAGATGGTAAATCCCATGACACGGGGGGGCGGGGAAAGAAAGTCAAAGAAGAGGTTTACAACCTTATTGTGAACTGGGAAACGCTCTTTAGGGCTCGGATTTCTACTGGGTGCTTGAATGAGTCATGGAATGGGTTGGGTTAGAAGGGACCTTAAGGCTCATCCAGCTCCAGCCCCTGCCACAGGCAGGGACGCCTTCCACTAGAGCAGCTTGCTCCAAGCCCCTGTGTCCAACCTGGCCTTGAGCACTGCCAGAATACTGGACCCCTTTCCCAAGTGGGTTTTACCTGCTGGAACCTTGGCTCGGCCTTCACCAGCCAAGCAGACACCTGAAAACTGACTCAGTGATGAGGGAAGGTCGAGCAGAGCAAGAGAAGAGTTTGGCATCCCCCAAAAGCAGATTTACAAGGTATTACAAATAAAACAACCCAACTGTACATGAGGCAGCTGTAATTCCATCGAGGGAATCTGGCATTTTTGTTTAAGGACCTGTTTAGTCACAAATCTCACTAATAAAAAAGGCAGCCGGGGATGGGGGGGGTGAATTTCCTTTTTATTATTCAGATGTGTGATGGATTCCTATTATTGGAGTAGACAGACTGTGAGGAATAATAATAGGAACTGTAAACTTGGGGAGTTAACAGGAAAAATCATGTTGCCTCTCTGCATTATACACCTGCCTGCAAGGGCTGGGGGACAGCGAGGAGCTTCACGACCACATTACTCAAGCTCTGAGTCACTGTAATGAGGGAAAATAAACTGGCTGTGCCCCTGTACAACACGTATGTGTGCCTCACTGCACAGGAGAGTGCTTCAGAGAGCCAGGAGGTGGGAATGGGGAGGCAGTCGGGAAGGACAGTGCTGGCTTTCCTGGCTTTTGTTGTCTCCTCCTTCCTTTTCCTCTCTCCATCCATCCCTGCATTAATCCAGGCAACGCTAGGGGACCCCAGCATCCTCCCAAAGCCTTTCTGCAAAGCCCCCAGTGTGGGATTGTTATTGCAGAGATGACATAAGAATCCAGACATAATGTTTAGCTCCCGGGTTGATTATAATGAAATAGGCAGCAATATAAAAAATGAAAGAAAGAAAAGAAGATAAAAAGAGGCTTCTTACCCCCAAACCTCAGCTAATTTGATGGGAATTGCAGAGAAGGAGATCTAGAGCCCCATGATGTCATCTACAGAGTCTGGCCTTTTCTGACTCTGGCTTTGCTTTCAGAGCAGCAATAGTTTTTCACTTCAAAGAGGATATCAAGTGCTTGGCAAGCTGCCTGGGAGTGGGTGGAGAGACGCTGGCCTACACTCCAGGGAGAAGCAGTCTTCCAGTGCCTAAAAGGGCTACAAGAAACCTGGAGAGGGGCTTTGGACAAAGGCCTGTAGGGACAGGACAAGGGAATGGCTTTAACCTGCCCCAGGGGAGACTGAGATGAGCTCTTAGGCAGAAGCTCTTCCCTGTGAGGGTGCTGAGGTGCTGGCACAGGGTGCCCAGAGAAGCTGTGGCTGCCCCATCCCTGGCAGTGTTCAAGGCCAGGTTGGACACAGGGGCTTGGAGCAAGCTGCTCTAGTGGAAGGGGTCCCTGCCCATGGCAGGGGGTTGGAACTGGATGTGCTTTAAGGTCCCTTCCAACCCAAACCATGTTGTGATTCTATCTAGGATCTTTGTCAAGTATCCCGCAGTAGAGAGATGGGAAGGAGATGAGCTACCTCCTTCCCACAGTGCTTTCACACCACTGTGGCCCTTTCTGCCTGGTTGCAAGATGCTATAAACCAGGTTAACCTGGTGGAAATTCGAAGCTCCAGCATGGGGTGGCTCCTCCTTAATAGTGAGGCTTTAAAGGCCATAAGAGCAGAAAACACAGGACCAAGGTCTATCCTGTCCTGCCACCCACCGCAGCTGGAAGGTGATGGAGCAGAGACTAAGATGAAAACTCCCTTCCTTTGTGTGCTACACATTTCATCTGTTTAGACCTACTTAAAAGGCAGTAAGGACCAGCAAAAGCCACCACTCACCAAGATAGCCCTGTGTCTTCTTCTGTAGTGCAGTGACGGGGCAGTCCTTGTGAGCCAGCAGGAGCTGCTTGAGTTGAGCAACTTCGTTCCTCAGTAGCGTAACTTCATTCTGGGATGGGAAAACAAACACACACGTGTGCATCACTCATGCTCTTGGCAACAGCCTCTAGCAGGACATGCATGAATGTGCCCCACCAATTTACAATGTGTTGTCTAACCTGAGATGTCTCCAGCCCAGGAACACCAAACAGTGGTTTTGGGGTTGGGGAATCTAGTGTGTAAGACATGAACACACATTTCCCTCCAGCAGCCCCTCGCTATGTTAATCACCTAATCCTGGACATCCATTTGCCTGATTCCTCTTGCAAATGCTGCTGGCTCTGATGGAAAACTAAACAGAGTGAGAAGCTGAGTGTAAAACCAACTCAGGCCATGCCAAGCCCTGGGGAACATCAGAGCTCCTCCAAGCTCTCGGTACCTCTGTGGGCTTCGTCTGTAAAGCAGACCTGCTGCCCTGAAGACTTTGTGCAAGTGTGTTATTCCTCTGCTGAGATGTTTGGAGAACCAGCTGGAATGAAGTCAATTGTATTTCAAAACTGCCTGAGGAAACAATGTCTATAATTATCTTGGGAAGAGAATGAAAATACCACGATCAGTGCTATTGAAAATCCCAGCACATGAGTCACAAGCCACCAGAACGGACCCCAGCTCAGTCTTTGCAGACCCTTCAATCCTTAGCATCAACAAGGGGGCTGACAGCAATGGAAGTGAAGTCTGTATTTTACATGGGCTACACTTCTTTTAGGAACACCAGGGTGCTGCTGGAGAACCAGGAAAACCCCATTGTCCAGGAAAAAGCAGCAGCGTGGCTGCAGAGCCTCGCTGCTCACCCTGGTGCCAGGTCCTCTGTGCAGGGAAGGGAACCAAGGCTGCTTTTGCTGACCCCATGCCAGTAAAGAGCTCTCCCTTATGCAGGGAAGCTGCTTCCTGGGGCCCCCATGCCCTGCTCCTGAGGCTGATGTTGCTGCCTTGATGGGCAGAGCCCATTTGAGGGGACAGGGAGAGAAACCAGAGCACTGAAGAGCTCTTCCCCCATGGCGTGCTCGAGGCAGAGCATCAGGATGGAAAGCAAGGAGTGAGATTTGTTGAAGGTGGTGGGCGAGGAGAAGCTCCCCATGACCTGGCCTCAGTGTGTGCTTGAGCCCAGCTTCCCTCTGTGTGCTGGTCTGCACCCCCAGAGTATGAGCAGCAGCTCAGGGATGGGATCCTGCACCTCTGCCATGCTCTGGGGAGACCCCTCTGCAGTCCTGCACTCAGGATGCTGAAGAGAGACCTTCATCAGGGACTGTAGCAACAGGACAAGGGGTGATGGGTTCAAACAGGCAAAGTTCAGGTTAGATGTAAGGCACAAGCTGTTCCCCATGAGGGTGGTGAGGCACTGGAATGGGTTGAATGGAGAAGGTTTGGATGCCCCTTCCTTGGCAGTGTTCAAGGCCAGGCTGGACACAGGGGCTTGGAGCAACCTGCTTTAATGGAAGGCGTCCCTGCCCGTGGCAGGGGGGTGGAGCTGCATGAGCTGAAAGTCCCTTCCAACCCAAATCCTTCCATGAAATCTAGAGGCAGCACTCCTGTTCCAGACAGCAGCACGCTGTCCTCGCAGCACGGGGGAAGCCGCTCCCTGCAGAGTGACGGTCCTAACGCTGGCAAGGGGCTGTGCTCAGCCTCGGTTACATACTCACGCTCAGCTGGATGTTCTGGGTCGTGAGCTCCTCAGCTTTCTTCTCCAGGGAGGACACCCAGAGCTTGCGTTTCTGACGGCAGCGGGAGGCTGCTGCCCGGTTCCGCTCCAGGAACCGCTGCCGGCGCTCATCCGGGTCTTCATCCACAGTGCGCCTCCGCCGCCCGCCGGTGCTGGGGGTGGGCTGGGCTGGGGAAACCTGGTGGTGAAAGAGACGTTGAAGGGCAGGCAGGCACACAGCAGCACAACCAGGCTCGGCAGAGGAGACCGGCGTTAAAAGAGATCTGGTTCTGCAGAGCAGCCAGAGCTGCCCAGCGCAGTGATGGAGCGAGGGCAGACAGGGGAGCTGGGGATAAAGTTCAGTTCTGAGCCCTCACTACAGGAGAAACATTGAGGTGCTGGAGCGGGGCCAGAAAAAGGCAAGAGACAGCCAAAGAGGAGGGATGGCAAACTCACAGGGCTAAAGACCATGGATGGACTCAGCACCAGGCTTTGTAGGCAGCAAGAGCTCAACCAGGTGAGGTGGATTGCTGAGGCTGATTGCTGAGGTTTCAGGAGTAAAATGCACTGATTGACCCAGGTGAAAGGACAGAGCCTCTGATCTGACCCCAATCACCATCAGCTCCCATTGGTGAGGAGCTGTGGAGCAATGAGAGGATGCTGTGAGGGAAGGGAAGGATGGACAGAGAAAGGATGGACAGCTCTGAGCTCCTCACTACAAGAGAGACATTGAGGTGCTGGAGCGGGGCCAGAGAAGGGCAGCGGAGCTGGTGCAGGGCCTGGAGCACAGGGGTGATGGGGAACGGCTGAGGGATCGGGGGGGGTTCAGATGGAGAAGAGAAGGCTCAGGGGGGACCTGATTGCTCACTGACAGCAGGATGGAGCCAGGAGGGGGCTGGGCTCTGTTCCCAAGGGATGGGGCAAGAGGAAACGGCCTCAAGCTGCACCAGGGCAGGTTTAGATGGAGATAAGGAACAATTCCAAACCCAGCCCAGGGGTGCTCAGGCATTGGAACAGGCTGCCCAGGGCAGGACTGCAGTCACCGTCCCTGCAAGAGTTCACACACCGTGCAGATGAGGCCCTCAGTGCCACGGATTAGTGGTGGCCTTGGCAGTGCTGGGGAACAGTTGGATTTAATGAGCTTAAAGCTGTTTTCCAATCTGGTTGGTTCTATGATTCTAAAGAGCCTTTCCCAGGTGTTTCTGGCAGCCCTTCCTCAGTGGAGTCTGCAAACTTCCTAAACGAACTCTCTGGGATCCTGAAGCCAGTGAATGGGTGAATGTCAGGGAATTAGTTAAATCCCAAACTCCTACAGTCACCTAACGGCACGTAACCAAGAGCAGGAGTTTCCTCCCCTCCATGCCAAGGAGCTAAGGTGGTAAATGACCACACAGAGAAACCACCTTCCTTTTGACTTCACTTAGAGTTTTAAAAGCACTTTGGGGACTCCCACATGGGCAGGGCTCAGGGATCAGCTGCCAGAGGGTGACATCCAGCTGCAGGGCTGGGAGCACTCAATCCCACTCTGACGCACGCAACCACGCACGGGTCCAAGCTCCGTCTCCACTTGGGTTCAGTAACTCATCCACAGAGCACAAACAAATTCCAGCTTGGGAGCGGATCATCTGCTTTCAGAATGAAGCTGGGTTCAATTTGCCCTGGATACCTCCAGCTAAAGAAGCTCTCAGAGGCAACTGGCATAAGTAAAGCGACACATTTCCTGCTTTGATATGGGGAGAACAAAGGGAAAAGTCAGGGAGGGCAAAGGCACAACCTTGCTGGTGCTTCTGCGAGGGCTCTGTAATTACACCACCACAATCAGGGAGTGCAGCTCCACTCGGGTACTCGCTGTCAGGCAGCATATGGATATTAAACTTTTGGAAGCCTATCTAACTGATGGAGCAGGTGGCGATCCTGCTGGAAAGCTGGCATTTGGTGAGCTGGCAGGAGCTACTGGAGCTGATTGCCTAAGAGGGGAGCATTTAACCCCAGTAATTGAGCAGAGAGAAGAGAGCGAAAATATTCTTTCCAAACTCCAGACCTTGTCAAGCAAATGGACGTGTTGCTGAAGTTTGCTGCCTGGTGGTGTTGGAGAGCATTAGCAGCACTGAAAAACAAGGCTTTTTAACCCATTCTGCAAAACAGGAAGCCACAAGGTTTTCCCCTGCCTTCCCCAAGGCCCTGGAACACCCCAGCAGCTCCAGCCCTGCAGCAGCAGACCTGTGGTTGAGCTGGGGAAGGGGCATCAGGGTGCTGGACAAGGATCTGACTCTGCTCCGGACGTGCGGTCACCATCGTGCTGGCTGAGCCCACCACCAGGTTGCTGCCGTTCAGTGAGGAAGACGCCGCCAAGCTGGCCTTCAGCCTCTGTTAAAGGAGGAAAAAGGACATCAGGGGACCTGTTCTCCATGCTGTGAAGGCTTTAACCGGCTCCTCTATCACCCCAGGAGTGATGGGGATTGGGCTCTTCAGAGAATGTGGCTGATTCAAATCCAACCGAAAGCCATCACCATCTGGCCTTCCCAAAGGCAGCTTTCAGCTTAGACCCAAGCAGACAGGTGTCCACATCCCAAAATTACTACTGCAGCTGGCACCAGTCAACTCCCAGCTGGCAGGATCTGCAGACAGACCATGGACTGAACAGGCTGCAGAGCCCAACTGTCCTTCATCACCCGCAGAAGGGTCCTTCTGGGATGGAGAAGGACCTACACATGATTGAGACCATGTCTTGCAAGCAGCCAGAGCAGCCAGATACAGGCCAGTGGGGCAGGATGGCTCCTCTATGCCTCAGCGCTGTAGCTCTGATCTGCCCCTGGATCCTGCAGACACCAAAACAGGGTGCAGTGGGAGCAGTGACAACAGTGAGCAGCTCTAAGAGGTGGGTTTGCAAACAGCTCCACCCCATCCAGGCCAAAAAATCGGGGGGGGGGGGTGTCACAGAATCAGAGAATCATTGAATGGGTTGGGTTGGAAGGGAGCTGAAAGCTCATCCAGTTCCAAGCCCCTGCCATGGGCAGGGACACCTTCCACTAGAATAGGCTGCTCCAAGCCTCATCCAACCTGGCCTGGGTTTGCTCCCCCCTCTTCTTCCACCTTGCTTGAGTCATGAGGAACCAAGAGAGGAAAACTCTTTTATAAGCTTTGAAAGGGATTTACATGAAAGCCATTCCCAGGATCCTTGGATTACAGCGCAACATCTCTTCTCTTGGCTCTGCCTTCCTCAAGCCCACCTCCAACCCATCTGTTATTTTGGAACTAGAACTAAAGAGGCGCATTTAGGATGGGGCTGACGTTTGCCCTGACAACAACGTGCCTCCTCTGCCTGCCAGAGCCGCAGTGCTGATGAGCCTGATATTCCTGGTGGCATTTCCAACACCTGCTCCTGGAATGGGAAGATGCTCTGATGGCTCGGCAGGATTTCCAAGAAGCCACTGAAGACTCGGGGACAACACCAGGGACGTGATGCCCTCCCCAGCATGGATTCAAACACTTACCATTTTGGCTTCTGAGTGCACTGGAAGTCCTGACGGGGAAATGGACCCGCTGCTGTTGATGGGCGGCCCAGGAATCCCGGGAATGTTTGGCACCATGGACATCGGCCGAGCCAGCTATCGGGGAGGAAGCAACACGAGGGGTTTGGAAGCTCAGGGGCTTTCAGGCCGCGCTCCGTGAAGCAGCTCTGTCATAATTCCCCAACTGAGCCCATTTATAAAGCCTGACAAAGGCACAGCCTTTAACTGCTGCCATCAATTCCTGCTGCTGTCACTGAAGGCCAGCAGCCACTCCTTTGGTGGCCATGGTGCCTGTTTCAGAATCACCCAGCCATCTCAACCACTGAGGACAGGAGGAGGGCAGCTCTAAAGCCTCCTTTCCTTCCCTTCCTTTCCCTTCCCTCCCAGAGGGCTTTTCCCCACCAGCACAGGAGAGCGGATACAGTGGGAGGGTATTAGATCCCCTCTAGATCTCAGCATAGCTCTACTGCAAAGCGGCCACAACACCAAGGGTAAGGCAGAGCATCCCTGCACAAAGCTTTCTCCCTCCACAAAGAGGGGAAAAACCAGAGTATGCACTTGCTTTTATGAGCCACTCAGGTGTGCTGTTGTAAAGCACTACATGTAGGGACAGAACAAGGGGAATGGCTTTAACCTGCCAGAGGGGAGACTGAGATGAGCTCTTAGGCACAAGTTCTTCCCTGTGAGGGTGCTGAGGCGATGGCACAGGGTGCCCAGAGAAGCTGTGGCTGCCCCATCCCTAGCAGTGTTCAAGGCCAGGTTGGACACAGGGGCTTGGAGCAAGCTGCTCCAGTGGAAGGGGTCCCTGCCCATTGCAGGGGGTGGAACTGGATGATCTTAAGATCCTTTCCAACCCAACCATTCCACGACTGTGATACTAGAAAACACAAGGTGTGTTTCAAACAAACAGGAAGGTTTGAAGATGTTTCCATGCCTACAAGCTGAGCTGAGCTGCCTGCGCATCTGCCTGCTTTGACATCAACGTTCCTGTTACCTGAGGCAGGAGGTTTTGCCCGTTACATGCCCAGCAGGACAGGCAGGATCCACATGGGCTGCCTGGTCAGGAGCTGAAGCACTCAGAAGAGGGACAAGGCACCCACCCACCAGGCAAATCTGCTCCTGAGCTCTGCAGCATGGAAAATTCTCCGTATGGAAAAGCACACCCCTCACGGCTGATATTGCAAAAGCTCTTTAGCCCATTGGCAAAGCTAGGGTGGCTTTCCTAGCCTGCAAAACCAACATGTTCTCTGCAAGCTCCAACGCTTTCAATTGAGGTACGCTGTTCCAAATGGAAGCAGCTAATCAGGGATCCTGCAGTTCCCAGCTCCGGATCAATGGCATGAGCCATCTGTCCGGGCAAAGCTTTGTTTTATTCCAGACTTATTGCCCTCTAGTGTGATGGACGTGCTATTGCTGCCTTGCCAGAGCTGCCCCCCTCCTCCTCCTCTTCCAAGCCTTATCTTGCACAGAGGGGGAGATATATTTTAACGCTGACAAAATGAGAAGCGTCTGCATCTATTTGGCAGGAGCAAAACGCTGTCCCCTCCTCTGCCATGCAGGGCTGTGCTGGAAGCTTCTCTCACCGATATAACAGAAGGCATCTGCACGGGAGGGCCTGGGAGCACGGGCATGGTCTGTCCATTTGCAAGCTGCACGACAAGGGGCAGGGATCCTGTGGGAGACCTGCAGAAACAACAGTTGGAGTTCACATGGATGGCTTCAAGTTTATGCTGTCCCGGCAGCCCCCCGAGCTCAAGGGCACAAGCACAAGTTCATTCTGGTTAGCAGATTTGGGCTCCTTTTCCCATTTCCCTTCCCTGGGGTGATCCCAGCTGCTGCTCCTCACTCGGGGCTGGCAGTGATGTGGGTGGCCCTGGGATATGATGTGCCCCTGGGTGTACACAGGCTGGGTAAAATATGCTGGCTGAGGCACAGTGTCCACCTGAACAGACAGAAAAGCAGAGCCAAGAGCTGCTGCAGCTCCTCCTTGGAGAGATGAGAAGTGTCCTCATGGGCTGAGCCTTGCACCAAGCAGACGGGATCTGGGCTGCTCCTGCCTACCAGGAACTTCTGGTCCTGTGAGCCACATTTGCTGAGCACCCAGGAGAGGGCTTGCAAGGGATTCATCTCCTGTGGCTGAGAGAGCTGGGCTGGTTCAGCCTGAAGAAGAGAAGGCTCCTGAAGGGGAGACCTTAGAGCAGCTCCAGTGCCTAAAGGGGCTGCAGGAAATGCAGAGAGAGGCTTTGGACAAGGGCCTGTAGGGACAGGCCAAGGGGAATGGCTTCAACCTGCCCGAGGGGAGACTGAGATGAGCTCTTAGGCAGAAGCTCTTCCCTGTGAGGGTGCTGAGGCGCTGGCAACAGGGTGCCCAGAGAAGCTGTGGCTGCCCCATCCCTGGCAGTGTTCAAGGCCAGGTTGGAGCAAGCTGCTCTAGTGGAAGGTGTCTCTGCAAGTGGCAGGGGTTGGGAAAGCTTTAAGGTCCCTTCCAACCCAACCCAATCCATGATTCTTTGATTTAGTTCCCATTAAAAACCGCTTCTGAATCTGATTCCAGTGAAAACCTCCCAAACCCAGAGTGGGATGGAGAGAGCTGATCTGTGTCTGCTCTGGGAGACAGGAACAGCCCCACTCCCTGAGGGAGGAGAAGATCCCACTGGAGCCTAACTGTGACAGATTACAATTCCTTAGAATTCTTCCCTTGCAGATTGTTCTGCAGTGAAATGCAATGTTCCTGCCTGTGGCAACAGCACGCACTCCCCGCCTGCACTTCAGAGCATCTAAAACCTCCCTGTGCTCCTGCTCTGAGCCTCCCGACTCAGCCTTTCTAGGAGAACAGAGGAAAAGCTGGAGCTGATGTGCTCCAGACGACAGGGAGAGGAAGGAAACCACCCCTCTGCCAGCAAGGGCTGATGTCCTGCTCCTCCTCCGTTCCTAGCAGCGCAGCAGGGAACCGAATGGAGGCAGAGATGAGCCAGGAAGAGCAGAGCAGAGCTGCTGGGAGCAGCAGGACTTTGGGGGAAGGATGAAAAAGGGATGGAGGAGGTTGGGCTGACTCCTCCGAGGAAGCTGTGCTGGCATGGAGTAAGGGCAGGGTGGGGAGCAGCAGGAGCTGTGGGTCAGAGGAGGGGGGAGTTCATGGTGCCAATAACTCAGGCTGGAATTTTTAAGGCTGCCTTGGGAACGCGAACGCTCGCCTCTCATTCATTTCTATTGGGCATCCCAAATCCTCCAGGCTGCTTTTGAAAATCCCAGCCTAACAAGGCGAGTTACAGGGAGGTCACAGCCTCCCCTCCATCTCTGTCACGCTGACAGCCCTGCCACGTCTGCACCAGCCCCAATGCAGGGACACTCAAAGCTGCAACCCCATCCCTGAGGAGGGATCGACCCCCCGTGGGCTACAAAGGGAATATAAAATCATATTCAAGTCCAGCTTACTCCAGTTCTGCTTTCTGCATGCCTCGAAGCACAAGGGGACTCCAAACAGCCTCAGGAGTCGGTGCCTGGGCTGGGTTACAGAATGCCCTTTGGAAAACCTCCGGACAATCACTTAACCCCTTAATGCCTCAGGACAGGATTTAAAACTTTCCATCAGGAAATCGGGATTGATGGTGCCAGGGGGTCAGAGCAAAAAAACCATACATACAAATATGAACTGACAGCCAGAACAAATGGGCTGGTTAATGTAAGGAGCCAGCCTCAAACAAGGGTAATTAGAGAGAGGCCAGGACCACAGCAAAAAAGATGCATCCTGACACCAAATAGAAGTGGAGCTAAATATATGTCTCCTGAGGGCTCCCTGTAATGTGTTTCCTGCATCCTTTAGGCTCCTTCCTTTTATGTGCAGGGCTGGAGCTACCCACCAGTGGGACAGGGCTCGTAACTGCTGCAGCGACTGCTCTGGAGCCTTGGCTCCAGATTGTTAAAGGAGCAACAAGGAGCAGGTCATTAGATGTGCCGAAACAAACAGCTCCCGAGGCAGGAGCTGACCACAGAGGAGGCCAGCAGGTTGCAGGAGAGGTTACACTTCAGAGGCAACAGCTGCCTGAGAAAGTCCCAAAGCCATTACAAGAGGCAGACAATTTCCTCTTGCTGCTCCCGCTGCCGTGGCAGTCTCCAAAAGCAACCTGGGAGTCCCCAGCCAAGCCCTGCTCTCACCATAGACAACAAGTGGCATGTCAGCATGGTGGGGGACTGGCTCTAATTCCTCCCCGGGGTGGGTTTTGCCTCGTTTCGTTACACGGAGACAATTAGTTCCTGCTTCCTGCACTCCCACCCCATTCTGCTTCTGCAGACAAGTGCTGCAGCGAGGCCCTTATGCCCAAGCAGCCGCAGCGGGCACCACAGCCCCTCGGTTGTTCTGATCATCAAGGAACTGATTGAGGCACCTAATTACTGCCCAGGCAGCCTGATGGGACAGGAGGAAGCTCCCCTGCACTTACCCGAGCTGTCTGTTGGAAGGGGGAGCCTGGGTGATGACAGAGGTTGGGGAAGGCAGCGTAGGGTGGAGCGGGTCGTAAGCCAAGTGGAGGGGCAGCGAGCCGGGCCGCACGATGGTTGGAGTAGGTGTAGAAATGATGACAGGCTTGGAGGTGATCTCCTGAAGAGGAACAACAGGCAGTGGACATGCTGTGAGTTATCAGTTTAGTAGTGACCTGGTTTTCTCTTCCTTCTGATGGCTTAAGAGCAGTTTAGTGCTACAGAAACTGAGGCATGAGGGGAGCAACTTACCCAAAGCCACAGGGATTTGATGGCAGAGCAGGGAGTGGGACATGGCAGTTCAGATCCTGCTGTCTGCAGCAGCCTCTGGGAAATAATCCCCCTCCTTGAATTACTGCTCCAGCCCCAGCTAGCATCTCTAGGGTGGGAAGTTATTCAGAGGGAGGATGTCACGTGGATAATGTGACACCTTAGAGCAGCTCCAGTGCCTAAAGGGGCTGCAGGAAACGTGGAGAGGAGCTTTGGACAAGGGCCTGTAGGGACAGGCCAAGGGGAATGGCTTCAACCTGCCAGAGGGGAGACTGAGATGAGCTCTTAGGCAGAAGCTCTTCCCTGTGAGGGAACTGAGGTGCTGGCACAGGGTGCCCCGAGAAGCTGTGGCTGCCCCATCCTGGGCAGTGTTCAAGGCCAGGTTGGACACAGGGGCTTGGAGCAAGCTACTCTAGTGGAAGGGGTCTGTGCCCATGCAGGGGTCTGGAACTGGATGAGCTTTAAGGTCCCTTCCAACCCAATCCATTCCATGATTCCATGACTAATCTGCTCTGAATCACCAGCCCTCCAGGACACAGGGAGCTGGTCCTGGCCTCACAGAAGATGCATTAGTTGTATGTCACTTTTGCCCTGCCAGCAAAGCACTCCCAGGGTGAACGCAAGACCTTCTGCAGTAGCCAAATCCACACGGAGACTTCAGGGCAGCAAATGTGTATTTCAGCAAACAAACTTTACTCTTTCTTTCTAAGACAAGTGGCACCTCACAAGCCCAAATCCAGCCCTGACACCCACGTGGAGAAAAGGCTTCTTCTCATCCAGAGGAGAGGCCAACATCTCCATGGGGCACTGGTGGAGGAGACCTACCTTCTCCTTGTTCTGTGGTGACTGTGGGTTAGAGGCAGGGCTGTCTGGTGGGGATGAGTCCACCTCTACCGGCTCCTCCTCCTTTATCTTGATGTCCGGGGTGGAGGGCAGAGACATGTCCAGGGCTCCAGCACTCTACAAGGAAAGCAGCCACAGACTGAAAGGCCAATTAGCTCACATTGTTTGGGAAGCACTGGGCTGCTCCCAGAGGAATTGCTACGGCTCTGCCAAAGGATTATTATTTATCTGGACTGAAGAGCATCTGGGAGCCCGAGGCGGTCGCGCCGGCCCCATCCAAACAGAGACAGAGGCCTGGAGAAGACAGTCTCTGCCCTGGATGGCACCATTCCGTGCTTCCTCAGTAACTCACACACAATTCTTTCCATAGTTTCGATTTTGGGTGCTCTTTTCCCCTCCTCAAAGGGCTCTGCTCAGGAGAACAGGTAACAAAGCCAAATGCCTGCGAGTTCCAGAAGGCACTTTCATTCACAGCAGAGCTGTAAAGCATTGTATAAATCAGCCTGAATTATTTTATGACCCGATTATCAAAAGCAAACAAAGAGCCATGCAAGTTATTAAATATCTATGAGCGCCCCATTAAAATAAAACCCAACCATATGCCTGAACCTGGCAACTTGCCACCCCACCCCACCCCAAGTTCCAGCAATGCCACGTGCCCCATTTTAACCAGTTCATGACTTGCTGGGGACAGGAAAAGGGCAATAAGTGACAATAAGGTGGGGGGATAACTAAAGGGAATGGCCACCTCTCCCATCCTCAGAGCTGGAGGAAGAGGAGACCAGGGAGAAGATGGAGCACCGGAGGAGCACGCACCGGAGCAAGACTCTGCAGGATGCTGCATTTAATTGGGTTCCAACAGACCTCACAAATCACCAGGTCGGTCCCTCCTTCCATCCGGGCCAGGAGAAACTCTTCCTAAATCATTCCTGACAGCTGTTTGTCCAACCTGGTCTCCCTCCCTCCACAATCAATCCCAGCGCTTTCCTTCACTCGCCCCGACCGCTGACAGCTCGTCCGAGCATCCAACCTAAACCTCCTCCTTTGCTGCATTTTAAGTCCTCTCCAGGGAGGGAAAACTGCAGCAAAGAGGGTAAATCCAGGCATCTGTGGATGTGCCTGATGCTCGGAGTGGGGTGCACTGATTTATGCAGGGGCTTTGCTTGCGGTAGGTGCAGTAACCATTTACCTGCCCTCTTTAAGCACTGGGAATCACAAAGGAGAAGGGATTAACATGCAGGAAAGTTTCAAACCACTTAAAGTGCCTCCAGGGAAGCTCCTGCTGTGTCTATGTTTTTAATTAACATGCTGGTGTCGAGACCACCCTTGGAACGGGAGGACAAAACACAAACAGCAGCAGCAACAAGGGCTCCATGCTGCCAAACGGTTGAAAGCATCTCAGAAATGCAGCAGGCAGCTCTGGCCAGGTTTGCTGAGTGACAAGCCATCTGGGCTGGGGGACCTCGCCTCTGCAGAGGTTTTCTAGGAGGGAAAATGCCTCCCCTAATGCCTGAAACCACCCCAAGCTTCACAACACCCCCCTTTGCCTGGCTGCAAGGCAGAAATATTTCGACTGCAGGCATCCTGAAGCGAAAGCCAGGGAACAGCGAACAGCTCAAGGGTCTCAGCTGCAGCTCTTGGGTAGCACAGCTTAGGAGATGGGTGGTCTGACTTCCAAACCAGCTGGCTAGACTGTGGGCTGCTCAACCGTTTCGATGGGAAACCACAAGCAAAAAGCCACCTTCTCCCCTGCACGAAGCTGAGAACAAAAGGCAGGGAAGTCAGAGCCGCGCCGCGCCGCGGAGGCCCGTGCAGCATACCAATGAGAGAGATCAATTTCTGCTTTAAAGAGCCCTGTTATTAGGAGCGAGGCTGAAAGACAGTTTTCAGGTTTAATTCTGAATTCCTCCGTTGCCCATCGGAGGGAAGATTTACGCGGCTTCTGCTCCTGCAGTTTATTTCCGAGCAGCGCCGCTGACTGCGAGCGTATGGACGCCCATAGATCAATTTAGTAAATGTATGTGCCAGCCTAAGAGCCCACCACGCATCTGCTGCTCCTCAGCTCCTGCGAAAGGGAGGGGGAAATGGCCTTAATGAGCTGGTATCCGATGAGATCCCCTTGTCCTTCACCCCCCTCCCTGCGCTCCCCAGGTTGGCAGGGGCAGCCTGAATCGATACCACCTTGCGTAGGAAGGAGCTCTTTGTTAGGAGCAGCCTCTCTCCTCCATGGAGCCCCTGCTCTGTTTGCATGCTCTCGTTTGCATCCCTTCACATGCTAAAGGCGCACAGCTGAGCTGATCCCTGCTGATTGCACCTTAAAGGCATCAGCCTTCAGCATCTCCATCCCAAAGGAAGCTCAGTGAATTTTTGCTGCTTAGCAGAGTCCTGGCTCTTTTCCTGCACCTCCTTCTCAAGGTGCAAGGTATGCTGGGCACTGTCTTGGCTTTCTGGGGGGGGGGGGTTGTTGACGTGAAAGACCGAAGGGGTAATAAACCATCGAAATCCCCTCACACCAGGCCTCGGATTGCAGGATAACCAGCCAAAGTCACCTGAGTTCAAATAATGAAGTTCCATATTAAATCCTAGACGACCCTAAGTTACCCTCCAACAGCCTCTGTTACACCTCCAACACTCCAACACCCTCTGATGCCTTTCACCAGAGCAGCACTGTCCCCCCTCCAGCCCTCACAACATGCACCAAGCTCTGTTTTATCACAACAGTGGCCTTTGCCTCTTGCCTTTTTCTCATCATCCTCTGCAGCTTTCTTGAACTCGTGCTCAAAGGAGCTGGCCAGTTCATTGAAGAGTCCCACTTCTTCACAGTTCTTCAAGAACCGAGTCGGGGTCGGAGTCTGATCTGTTTGGGGTTGTAACACCAAGCATCAGTCAGAGAGAGGGGAGAAAACACATCCTGAACCACCCTAATCCCCTCTGGGGACCCCCAGAATATGGGGTGTTGTGGAAGCCTGGGTGCTTTTCTGCTAAGGTGTGTGTCTTACGTGACGATTCAGAAAGGGGGAACTCATTCCTTATTGATTGTGTCTCTCTGGTACTAAATAACCATCGCAGGCAGTGATTGCTGCAGAATTCCCAGCCTGTGGCTCGTGTGCTGTCCCTCCCATCCCGGGCTTTCGCCTGTCCTCAGCTGAATTGCTGCTGCGAGGAAGGAAATCAGTGAGGTTTCATCTCCCTGAAACAGCAGATCTTACAAATAGAGAGTGATGAGAAGGGAACCAGCTGACTAGAGCAGCTCCAGTGTATGGAATAGAGCCGGGAAGAGCCGCTTCCCTCCCCGTGCTGTCTCCATGCATTAATCCCATCCTCGGACAGGCGGCTCCGTGGGAGTGCTGATCGTTACCACCCTGTCCAAAGCCATCCCTCTGGGGCCCGTTTTCCACCAGATTAACACGTTGAGTCATGATCTCTCTGGCCATCACCCAGGCTATAAAGCAGGAAGCAATGGCCCTGCTCCCGGTGAGCCTCGTGCTGCACGCATGACGTTAGGTCAGGAGTCCAGGTACCAGTGGGAACCCGGCACGAGCACACGGCACCGACAGAATCCATCTGGCAGCAGAAGCACATGGATTCGGAAGCACAAAGGGGATCCCTGGCATCGTTTAGCCTGACCTCCTGCATAAAACATCAGCTGCTTGGCACGGATGCTCCCCGGGCGAGCCGCGGGAGCGATGCGTGAGCTGAAGGGGCTATGGGAAACATCCCCTTCCATTTCCAGCCAGGGGTGGGGAGTCTTCGGGAAGCCACTCCGGTGATTCCTTCCCCTCGCTGTCACAGGACTACACGTTATTCCCAGCCTGTTCAAACCCTACCTCTTGCCTTTGTCGATAAAGCAAAGGTCTCCTCTGAGCACACTTTGCTTCCCCCCCACCCACACATCTCTCGTCATTAAACCAAGAAACTTAGTCAGCTCAAGATCTCGGCAGGAGGTGGTTTTTCCAGGGCTTTAACAGCTCTCCGGGCTCTTTCTGGACCATTCCCTGTTCAGCAATGTCCTTCCAAGCCATGCACACCAGCCCAGAGCCCAAATCTCTACCAGCTCTAACCAGCAGAGAGAGGACAATTCCTCAGGACTTGCTTTAGGCTCAGCACGGCGAGAGCCGCACGTTGAATCCTCCTGCACATCCACGCACAGGCGGCTGCCCTGGGCTCGGCACAAAGCAACAGGGAGGGAGAGAACAAGAAAAGCCAGAGACAAAATGGTGGCTTAATAAAAGCCAACCAGAAAGGACATTAGGAATGTAGGGCAATAACAGCCTGGATCTCGCTGCTCAAAGCCAGCGTGCTTTATAGCCCCCGCAACCCCCAGGCTGCTCAGGCTGCGTCAAGATCTCAGCCAGGGAAAGGCAGCGTTAAATAGGCTGGTCCTGCACTGCCCACAGCTAAAGAAGTTGGGGGGGTTTATTATGTTCTTTGTGGTTCAGCCCTGAGCAACCCACTGAGCATCGGCTCAAGAGGGGCTGGGAGAGGGGCTGGACCGTGTTCCTTGTGCTAAAACTGAATCCCTGCATCCCACCCATGGTTTTACCTGCTGGAGCTTGGGCACAAGAGGAATCTACAGCTCTGGGAGAATCATAGAATCACTCCGTGGTTTAATCTACAGCTCTGAGGGCTGCAAAGAGGAGGGTTTTGAGCAAGCTGCTCTAGTGGAAGGTGTCCCTGTACCTGGCAGGCGGTTGGAACCGGATAAGCTTTAAGGTCCCTTCCAACCCAACCCATTCTATCATTTTAATGCTGTCTCCCTGTTGGAGCAGGTGGAATTTTGGCTGGAGATGGGACCATCCCCCGTTCCTGCTCCCCCATCACCACCCGCCCAAGCTACACCCTGCATTGAGCAAGCAAAAGCTGTGAACCCTGTTTAGAAAGGGGGGGAACTGAAGCTAAAAGCATCTGTAGGAATGTGAGGGTTCTTTCAGCCCCTGCCCCAAATTCTTCACCATCCATTCCCAAGAGCCTCATCCCACTTGTAACCAAATCTCCCTCCGGGAGCCTGCTCTGCCTCTCCAAGGGGAAGCTTTGTGCCCTTCTAGCAAAGCCTGCAGCAGCTCTCCTACGATCCTACCTGCAGCTACAATTAAGTTGAAGGCTTTACGGAACCAACTGAATTGCTGTTTCCTGCTCCAACACCAAAGTGGGGCTGGAGATAGGGAAAGGATGCCAGGCTCTTCAGCTCCATTTCCCCTTCTGAACTCTGAAGGCTTCACAAAGCATTTCCTCCTCTCTTCTTGTTCTCAGCAACAGCCTTTGCAGCCAGGGGTAACACAAACCTTCTAAGCAGCCTGACTGAACAGGGCCTGACAAGGCAGGCGGGTATCTGTAACCAGCAATGATCTGCTGCCAGACAGCGATATATGGGGGGGGGGTGTGCTTTTGTTCTCCCAATCTTATAAAGGCTGCATTGACCCCGTGCTGCAGGAGCTCCTCATTTGGGCTCTGCAAAGGCACAAACTGGTGCGCTCAATGGTGCTTTAATTTATTAACTGCTAGCCTAAAAGCTCACCAAAATTGACACCTGGGCTGAGGAGAGGAAGCTGAGTTTGTCAGCTTGTGCTCCTCGTCCTCAAAGCGCACGCAGGAACGTGAAAGCCCTTTTGGCCATAAATCTTCCAGTCCTAATAAAAAAGGGTGAGAGCTAGAAAAAAAAAAAAAAGAGGAGGAGGAGGGGAAAAAAAAAAAGAGCCCAAACCCCACAAAACCTGATACTGCCATAAAAAAGGGAAAAAAATAGCAACTTGGAAGCCTCTGGCTTTCCTTTCCTCCTGATTAAATGCAGATCACAAGAGGGTTTTATGGGAGGTAGAGCCGTTTTGCAGTGCATCTGGTCCCTGGTATTAATCTTGCAGTCATGCTGTATTAATGTGCCCTATTTCCCGCGCTGGCCTGGCTCGGAGCGCCGCATACCTGCGATGATGACTGAGTCGGTCCGAGCGGGGCCGAATTTCAATGTCATCTCATGCTTGTGTTTATGAACAGCCAGGTGGTCTTCGTTTGTAAACCTCTGCAATGAAACCATTGAGAGAGGGGTGAAGAAATGCAGGGGGGCTTTAACGGGTACATCCTGCAGGAGGATGGGGAAGGGGGAGGAAGGGAAAGTCGCCCGGAGAGAAACGGTAACGCAGTCACTGCCAAGTGTTAAAGCCAAACCAGAGCGGGACATGTTGGGTGGGAAGTGGGGTGTGGAAGGAAAATGCCATTCCATGGGGCTTCTGGGTGATGAGGGACAAATACTGTTGTTAATACTAATAGTAATGATGATGATAATACATTTTGCTAAGCATTGCAACCGATGTCGGAGATGTAAACCCGCCCTGCTCACTCGGTGAGAGGCTCCCCTTTATTGCTGCCCAATGGAGGGATGAATTAGGGGCTGTTAGGGAATGATTTTGGGATGGTATGTGGCAAAGCTGGCACCTGCCCACTCATCCAGGCTGTGGCTTATGGAGCAGGATGGAGCGAGATGCCCGCCGTGCAGCTTGCCGATGGCGCAGCCGAAGCACGGCCACTGTGGAACACGGAGAGGGGGGATGCAGCATAAAGACTCCATCTGAAATTCCACCTGAATTGCAGGATAAAATCCCACCCGTGATAGCTTTAGGGATGCGCCGGGTAGGGGAGCCGAGTGCGCGGGGCTGATACCCAGACAAAAGGGCAGCATCATCCGTTACGGGGCTGCTTTGAACGGCTGCACCAGCCCCAAGCATCGGGATCAAGGAAAGGGCAGGGGAAGGGGTGAGGCAGGGATGGGGTTAAAGCAAATCATCATAAAGACCCGAGGATGGATTGCGCCTCTCCTAATAGACTGCGACAAAGCGGGAGCTGAGGGCACAGCTCGGGCCGTACCGCAGGATTTTTATGCATCCCGGAGCCGCGCGGCATCGGGCTCGTTTCTAGAAAGAGCTGCTGCTGCAGTGAAACATTCCTGCCCTTTTCCCCCTTCCTTTTGTCTTTCAGATGATCTTTAAGTTCCCTTCCAAGCCTCCTGATTGCGTGAGTCTCTTTAAAGCATCCAACAAACAACCCCAACCCAAAGCCACCTGTGTCGGTGAATCAGCTCGAGCATCACGCCCCGGGTGCGCTCGCTCTCGCCGATGCTTATTTACAACTCAGATTTATTTGCCTTTATTAAGCAAATCCCTGTTTTCCAGGCTTGGAAGCTGCCACGGTGCCTTCCTGGGAGCTGTGTGACATAGCAGGGATGTTAGTGGAGGGAAGGAACAGCAATGCCGAGACAACGGGCGCATCCGCACACATCCCATCCATCTTCCCCTTCGGTGCAATAAGGGTGTTATCAAAGCGTCCTTCAAACATGCTATAGGAGAAGGTGCTTTTGGTGATGACTCGTCGCCGGGGCTCAAGTTAACACAAATTCAGAGCTCGTGGGTCCTAATGGTATTGCAGGAAGAAGAGGTTTTGGCTGTGTAATTCCAGGTGGGCACGCTGCAGCTTTCCCGCTGCTGCTCCCAGACCCGGTCCGCATCTAAACCTTAACTACAATTTATTAATGGCTTTGTTAAAGACACACATGCCCTGGGTTCCTTTATTCCCTGCAACTCCCCAAACCCCTCAGCTCTGCTCCAAACACAGCCTCCATTCCAACCAGCGCTACAAATCCCGGCCATTCCAAAGCATCCCCAAACAAAGGAGAAGCGAGCGAAGCGCCGCCGTCCTTTTCCCAATGGGAAAAGACCAAATCTGCAGCATTGTTTTGCATCGCTCTTGGGGAAAAGGAGAAGGGGGGGACACAGGGAGGGAAAAGGGGGGGCACTGACACTTGGTCATGTTTCTAGCCCCAAAAGCACCTCAGGTTTTTAAGGGGCTCGGCTGCCATCCCCGCTCGCCCTTGCGATGACAAGAGAATAGGTGGGTTACGGTAAGCAGAGAAAGATAAATCAGGGTTTTGGTGAGGAGCAAGGAGCAGCCGGTTCCAGATGAATACAGAGCAGGCAGGAGGCTGCTGCTCCCGGAATATGGAGCACCCTGAGCCAGGGGAACAAGGAAAAGGAAGAAAATCCCCACTTCTGGTTTAGACCCAAGATTCTTAGGTCAATGCAGGAAGTGGCACAAGGAAGAGGCAGAGAACGGGGTCTCATTTCCCTCCCCGGCTCCACCATGGGCACGGTTCAGCCCAGCTTTGCTATACCTGAATTTATTTTAATGTTTCATTTTGCTCCACTGCTGCCTTTTTTTTCTTTATCCTTCCCCCCCCCCCCCTTTTTATTTTTTCTAGGGCACTTTCCCTGCTTTCGGTGCGTGTTACAGCTCTATTTAACATCTTTATGTGGTCTCACAGGCTGGGGAGCTCTCTTTTTCCCTGCACAGAAATGCTCACAGACACAATATATCTTTCCACATACATTTCCAAACGCCGAAACCTAGAGGCTGAGTCTGGCACTTCAGTTCTAAATCATGTCATTTTACACAGAGAACGAAAGCGGGGGGAGAAAGGGGGGAAGAGGAGGGAGAAGGGGGGGGGGGGGGGGGGGAAATGGAATGAGTTAAAGCCACAGCATTGGCTTTAATATTTAATCTCCTTCCATCAGCAGCTGCCATCCAGCAGTGTTATTTCAGCCCGCTATTCTGTGGGTGTCGGAATTAAAAGGAAGAGGTAGACTATGAACTCTTTGGGATAACGAAAAATCAAAGGGCTTCACACCCAGGGCTGAGTAAAACCTGAGTTTCAACACCACCCACCGCCCCGAGTCCTGCTTTTCTCTCCCTTCGGATGGCATGTGGGGGTTTTGGGAAGCACAGGGTTGGGTTTATTTACCCCAGAGACTGTAACAGCTTTTGGGAGAAAAGAGACTCGAGGCAGCCTAAAGCTGGCCACTCCACATTCCTCACTCAAACAGGCTGTGACAGCCCCATCAATAAACGTGCTCCCTTCAAAAGCTTTATTTAATAGGACACAACCCTTCCAGCTGGACCAACGCACCACCGCCGTTAGAGCAAGAGCCAGAGAAGAAACGCAGGAGGCCGACGCGCTTCGGCAGGCTGAGATTTTTTCCATGCCTTTAATAAGCACAACGGGAGGAACCAGGGCTTGCGAGGGGTTTTGCCTTGCTTTTTGCACAGCTTCCAACCGGCTCTGCTGCAGGAGGAGGGTCGAAGCCACCGCATCCAAGCCCACGGCCACGCCGAGCCCCGGCGCTCGCTGCCTCTTTCGGCAGCTCCAGCACAGCTATTTTTTAACCTTGACAGTCATTTGCAGAGCACATAAACACCCTGGGCCAGCCATGCAGCCAAGAGGTGGTTTTAATAGAGACCGGGTGTAGGCTACAACAGCACACGCTGTTCCACGGCTGCCTGGTTGTAAAGAGAAGACTTTACCGCACCGAAAGCACAAGCTGGGGTACGGAGCAGAACTGAAAGGGGCGAGGAGCCAAATCCGTCTCCATCAGGCTCATTGCACAGCTGAATTAATCAGCTGTCGTTAACACAGACGCTGCTCCAACCTTAAACCCAGCACGGTGGGTGTTAACTCTGGGCACGGACACCACGGAGCTGCCTGACATGGTTGAAACACCTGGAAAAGGGGGGGAAACGAAAGGAAAGGGCACGTGCCTGCAACTGCGGTGCGGGAGGGGAGTGAGCGCACCAAGAGCTCCAGTGTGGATGAACCGAGCTCAAAGTCACCCATTTTAAAAGGAGCCACAACAGGTTTGACTTCCAAAGTCCATCCGGTTGTGGTGATGCCCTAAAGCAATGATTGTGATGTGATCAGCCGGGGATGAGGGGATGGGGGGGGTCAGAGAGTCATGGAATGGTTTGGGAGGAAGGGATCTTAAAGCTCACCCAGTTCCAGCCCCTGCCACAGCCAGGGACCCCTTCCACTGGAGCAGGGTGCTCCAAGGCCCTGTCCAACCTGGCCTTGAACACTGCCAGGGATGGGGCAGCCAAAGCTTCTCTGGGCACCCTGTGTGTTGTGCACCCTCACAGGGAAGAGCTTCTGCCTAAGAGCTCATCTCAGTCTCCCCTCTGGCAGGTTAAAGCCATTCTCCTTGGCCTCTCCCTACAGGCCCCTGTCCAAAGCCCCTCTCCATGTTTCCTGTAGCCCCTTTAGGCCCTGGAGCTGCTCTAAGGTCTCCCCTTCAGGAGCCTTCTCTTCTCCAGGCTGAACCAGCCTGGTTCCAGAGCAGAGCTGCTCCAGCCCTCACAGCATCTTTGTGGCCTCACTCCAACAGCTCCACATCCCTCTTGTGTTGATGCCCCAGAGTTGGATGCAGGACTGCAGGGCTTTGCCTTGCTCTCCTGTCACCTCCATGGGCGAGGGGTACCCACCTCCTTCACTTTGGGGAACCTCCTGGTGGGAAAGACACGGGAGAGCAAGGCCAAGGCCATGGGGAGATGCTGGACCTCCTGCACTCATCCCAGCCCACCCAGCATCCGAGCAGCACGTCCCCGCGGCTCTTCCCGGCTGCGGCAGACCTGCTGCCTACGCCCCAGCCATCCATCTCACCGCTGACAGGGCTCAGATGGATTTCCAGACGCTTGGCAGGCTGGAGAGATATTCCCCGTTCGCTCAGCACAACGGCCGAGGTAACTAATGCGGGGTCACGGGTGCCCCGAAGGGCTGGGTGCCCAAAGGTTATAGCTGTTACTGCTGGTGAGTGATGTGACCCCCCAGTTCTCGCGCAGATCGGGGCTCCATCTCACCCATTTCCCATCTGAGCAATGACAACGATAATTCCCTCCCTTGCAGAGAGGCTGTAAGGATTAATTCACTAATGTGCATAAAGTGCCCAGATACTGGAGTGATTCATAGATTTTAAAGGCCGGGGGGACCATTACAATTATCTACCACGTGAATCCCCAAATGGGCCCGTTTCCACAGGAAAGGAGACGACGAGGAGGGAACGCCGCAAAGACTTGTTGGTTTGAAAGAATGCACCCAGGGCACAGCTCAAGTGTCGTATTTTTACACTTACAAGAGATGACACACACAGATTTTGGACCTGTTTCCTCTTGGAGCGTTCCCCCTATGGCAGGGCTCGCCAGGCCAGGTTTCAGAAGAGCTCAGAGCCCAGTTGCTCCCACCGAGTCTCTGGAAGCAGCCGAGGCACCGAGTCGGTGCAGCTCGAAGGTGGCCACGGCAGCTCCGGTTACTGAGCGCTTCTGGAAAGCTGGTTTCAGTGGCAGCATCCTTCTGCTAGAGGAGGGACGAGCCGACACCTCCGTGAGCCTGAACAGGATAAATGAGAGGAAGAGTGAAGGTTTACGAGCGATCAGCTCCAGAATAAAAAACCCCACATCATTTATGGCACGTAGAGCATTCAAAAGGGAGCTCTGCCGCTCCTCGAGCACAAAAGCCCTTTGCAGGAGGGGGAGAGGCTGCTGGTGGGCTGCGAGCTCAGCGCAGGCTTTACATTGAGAACGCCCCGGAGTCAAGGTCGTTTCACTCCAGCCTGTGCTTGGGGCGGGGGGGGGGGGGAAGAAATCAGAAAGAGGGATGAGAGGGAATTGTGCAGGAGCCGCAGCCACCGGCTCAGCGCCCGCAGCAGCGCTTGGCTCCGGCGCTGCCGCAGCGGGGCCGCTTCTTGCACTGCGGCAGGATGCTGCTCTGCAAAGTGTTTGGGCTTCCAGCACCCGGTGCCCTTCCCACAGGCAGCAGGAAAAGCTGATTTCTACTCACTCAGGTCCTGTGACTATCAGAGGGGCTGCAGGCAGCTCTAGGTGCAAGCAGCACATTTGTGCAATTCCCCCCCACACACACAAACTGCATCAAGATTAAACCTTGAGATGTCATTTTTGGCTCAGGCAACACCAGGGACCAATGTGGCTGTGCCTTTTTCTTTACAAACCTGCTTACATCCTATGACAAATTCACCTTCCTTTCCTTGATTTAAAAGGGCATAAAGGCAGCAGAAACTTCAGCCTGTTTACAGGCAGAACGAGGCGCTGGCATTGCAAAGCCACGTTCAAAGAGCCAAAAAGCGCTTTAACAAACGCTACTTTCGGGATGCACATTGTGCAAACCACAAGAATTTGGCTTTTTTTTTTTCTCCTTAGAGAGAACCATCTGCCTTTGGATGCTGTTTTTCTGAGGGGCTGGGTGTTTGGTTATCACAGATTGGTGCTGCACAGCAGCATCTTCTCTGTGTCACATCATCTGCCCTCTTAATGCAGGCGGCTCCATGTCGGGCTTCTCCCATCCTCTCCAGTGAGCCGAGGGGAGAGCAGCAGCAGGGTTAAGACGCCAAAGCATGACACAGGACACTCCAGTTTCCCTGAGCTCAGTGCCTGGGAGGTGACAGACAAGCTGTATTTTTTATAAGGCAGCAACAAGCAGAGGGAGAGGATATTTTATGGGCTGAGCATTCGGCTCCTACCAAATCACTGGCAATGAGTGCTGAGATGCAGAGGGTGCCCCCCAAAACTTCCCTGCAATTTAAACAGAGTTAAGCAGGTTCTGGAGCCCATCCCATCCCCATTCCTCCTTGGCCAGAAGGGCAGAGCATTTAACTCCGAGTAGGTAAATAATTTAATTTACATTTCTATAGCTCCCCATATCCCAGAGGGCTTCTCATACACATGCCCCTCCACTGAAATGCAGGTGTTTCAGCAGGGGGGAAGGCAGCAACCATCTGGCCTACAGCACACCATATAGCAGTGAGGAGGGAAGCCAAGGACACACGGGGCAAAGTCTTTAATAAACTCTAAGCTCAACTTTACTTCTTCTCTTTACGGTGATTTTAATAAAGTCCTATCTGGTAGACACCGTTTCTCCTTCAGCCCGAGCTGAGCATCGGCACGTCTGAGTGCAGGCAAAACCAAACACCATCCTTCTGGGGCAGCCAGCAGCCAACCTGCTTGGCCAGGAAGACATTTATCCCAGTGGGATTTAACCTGGGTTGGACACCGAGCGCTTTTCCCATCAAAGCCATCTCCAGCTACTGAGGAATTCCTCTGCAGTGCACCAAAGGACCATGAACCAACCTTCTCTCCTCTTTCAAGGGGCATATGTAGGCAAACAGCAGATGGCTGAGGTGGTTCATGGAGCACCCAGGGAGAAAGCAGCCCCTGATTTTGCCCTAAGTACACCTGGTCCCACAGACAAAGAGCCCTCAGTGCCTCAGAGGCACCGCTCCCTCAGGAATCACAGCCCAAACCCTAGGATTCAAACCTGAGCGGGGAAGATCAAGTTCCTAAATCTCAATGGGAGAGCAAGCAGGGTTTGCCAAGGCACCACTATCCTCCTGCAGTGCTCGAGCGATGCTCGAGGGGGATGGACACCTCGAGGAGCCAAGTGTGCTCCTCCTGAGCTCTCGGTGGGCAGCTCCATCGTGGCAGCAGCAGCAAGTCTCTGCAGCCAGACACAGAGCATGGATGCAAGGAGCTGCCCGAGGTCACACCGCGCCGGCAGCGCTCGCTTAGAGCCGTCACAATTACTTCCTTCCACACGGTGGAGCGGTTTTTAGGCTTGTTTGGAGGCAAGTGAAGGTTATTAAAACCCATGTATTAATTACTGCTGCCACATAAGTTAAGAGGAGAGGCACAGCGGTAATTAAGGGAGGTGAGTGAGGAGGTGGAGCTGCACAACGTCAGCGACTCCACAGCTTGTGCCGATGGATTCGCGCCGGCCCCATGGGAACCCCCAGATCGCTCCAATGTGGATGTGAATCATTATTACATCCCCAACTCGAATCCCAGCAGCAGCAGCGCAGGTTTGCAGTGTGACCTTGGGCAAGCCATCAATTCTTCCCCTACCTACCAGACAGAGCAAATAAAAGGGGGGGGGGGGAGGAAGGCACAATCCTTCATGAGGGCGTTAGGGAAGAGGGAGCCGACTGCACACGCAAGTACCAGGAGCCATGTGAGAAGCACTGCAGGAAAATAAAGAATATATATTAACAAAGGCAATTACAGCTGCGTTGCCCTGAGAGTATTTCAAGTGTGGGAGCTCAGTGATTCATTAGGAGCCCAGCGTCTCTTCCCATCACAGGAGCTGAGGGATAGAGCCTAAGGAAAGCGGGCAGAGGCATGGGAGCTGGGGCTAAGGGAAATTCCTGCCCTGCCCTACTGCTCAGCTGGGGCTGAGCTGGGCTAGGAAGTTGTGTGGCATTGAGGGAGGAAAAGGGTGAATTATGCAGCTGGGTTATTCACAAGGGTGATGCAGAGCAAGGATCCTGAGCCCCTGGGGTGGTGGTAGAGAAGGAAGGGGGAAAAAGAGGGGAAACCAAACAAAGAATTCCCCCCAAAGGCTTCAGATCTACCACAGAAACCCAATCTGGGCTCCTGCCTCCCCCTGTGTGGCTCTGCTGTTTACCAAATGAGTCACTCTTCCTGCCTCCAACACTCCACAGCTCCTGAATGAAGAATGTGGGAGCGAAAACCCTCCTTCTCTGCAAACAGCCTCGGCCCCGCACGCGGCTGCGTGCGAGGGGATTCAGAGTGCAAAGAGCAGCAGAACAGGAGCCTCCTTCCCCGCATACCCTGAGAAACAAGAACGTACCGTGTAAAACTCATTCAACCCCAACCTGGAGTGGATGGATTTGCCTGCAGGGCTGTGGGTTTGTGCTGGGGGAGGCTGCACCGGGATCTTAAACCGCCTCTGGATGGTGGCCAAGCCTGTCAGTGCCGCACGGGCGAGGAGAGGCTTTGGCAGCTCCATGGTACGGGCTATTCCCGCTCCCCTGCTCCCTGCCAAGTCATGGAAGCAGCCTGGGGATGCTGCCCCAGTGCTATCAGTGAGCTTGGAAATGGAGGTACAGGGCAGCGGAGGGGCTGGAGCCAGCAGGACTGAGCCTAAAGCAGGATCTGGATCTCGCTTGGATCTTAGGCACCCAACGCAGCTCTGCGGGAGCAAGGGTGTGTGGTTGGGCCCTCAAGCAGCACGGCAGAGCTGCAGGGAGCTGCTGTGCCCATGCATGGGATGGTGACGTCTCCCTTTCCATCCTTACCCCAGGAAGAGAAAGCAGTGCTGGGAAAGCAGGATTCCAGCAGTGGATTCTGCTCCAAACAGCCTCAACTCCAATCCAAGCCCCTTATGGTCGTTCCCAAAGCTAATTCTCAAGGGTTAAGGAGAAGGGAGGTTAAATTTGGTCTCATCTGAGAGGTTTGGGGGTTCTCCGCTCAGAAGATGCCTGCATCAGGCTAACAGGATCCTCTCGCTGCTGCACTATTGTTTCAGGGCTAGGAGAAAGCTGATCCTAGAGGAAAAGTTAGCTCCAATGGGAAATAGCTCTCATTGTGCCACTGCTTGGAAGCTCTCATTGTGCTGAAGCTTGGAAGAGCCTCCGTGACTCAGCCTTGACCTCTGAACACCACTACAATTAGGAGAAGGATGCCACGGTCCCCATTCAGGTTTTTAAGGCACTGGAAGGTTGATTTCCTTCAATTCATTCGTGATATTGGGTATGTGCCCACCCATTCATGGTGTGTGAGGCTCCAGCACCTGAAAACAGGGGTGGGTTTTGCAGGCCTGAGCTTGCACCTCTCCAACAGCATGTCTGGTGAGAGCAGCATGTCAAATGAAGATAGAATTCAAGTGCTTTGGGGGTTTTCCCCCCTTTAAGGGTGGCATTTCTTAGTGGGAAAGAACATGCTCTAAGGAAGTGTAGACCCACATAACTGACTTAGCCATAGAATCATGGAATGGTTTGGGATGAAGGGACCTTAAAGCTCATCCAGTTCCAACCCCTGCCACGGGCAGGGACACCTTCCCCTAGAGCAGGTTGCTCTGTCTGCAGTGAGAGGTACAAGCGCTCAGTGGGGATGGCTTTGGCCAGCTCCTGTCTCCACATCTATCCCAGCACAAGATGTGAAATGAGAAACTGAGGAATCCACCAAACCCCTGCAGTGACTCCCAGCAGGCCAAAGCCATTCCTGCCCTCTCATCCCTTCCCATCCACCCTTATTCACTGAGCTCCACAGCTTACCCTAAGGCACAATTCCCATTCTCTGCCTCCCTTCACCTTCTTGATTCCAAGCAGCCCTTAAAGCACAACCAGCTTCCCACAACGATCTCCCCAGGGCCGTGCATCCTTCCTTTGTGCATCCCCACATGGTGCTTTTGGCCAATGCACAGAGCTCCTTCCCTCTTTTTTTCTGCCCCTGCTTCCCAGATACAGACACAAACCCCAGCCCTGTCTTTTATAAGGCCCATGATAAGTTGTCAGGTGTCAGCTCAGCACCATAATTAAGCTTTTAAAAGCAGATAGGCAGCAAAAAAAAAAAAAAAAA